GCATAGTCGTCTACTGCTTAGTCTCGCATTGAAAGTTATGTGGGTTATTGTCATCGTCAACTCTCGATTACCCGGGGTCATTTGGGGGGGGGGTGGAGGGGGAAGTGATGGGTGACCTGGATTAAAATGAAACATGGACGATGCAAATCATGTCCAAAATCATCTATTAAATAGGATTTATTTGTTGACGTATGCATTGTTTATGTATATTTATTATTTGTACTGTATAGTGTTTACGTATGCATTTATATTCTTGGTTCTTTCGGTAAAGTCACGTAGAAGGGAAATAAAAAAATTCAAAAATTATAAAACAATAAAATTCTCACGACGTTTCGACTGCAACACAAGCATTGTTTACGTATATTTTTTTTGTATGTTTATGCATTGTTTATGTATATTTATTGTTTACACACGCAGAATGGGGGGGAGGGATAAGATTGAATGTGTAGTGTTCTGCTGTTTATTAAAGTCATCGGTCACAGAGTCACGAGCAGCTAATAATAGAATCCGGCGCATGCGCATACGGCGTGTGGAATACCCTATTCTCTATTTTCATTATTTTTTCCAAAAGCACAGTTAATCCACCACCCAGATAATCAGTCCACAGATAATCGAGCGTTTGACCTGACCCGGAGGACGATGACCGTCCTCATTCAGTCGCCGATTTCATGACATTAGTTTGTGTCTTGACACGGGACAGGGAAGACCCTGGGAAGGTTGTTGTCTTCTTGCCCAAGCAGCTCCTGATGCCAGCGAAATGGTTTACCAACCTCAACCCGCATAATACATTCTAAAAGACTGCGTAATTTTATACTTTCCAAAAAAACTATTGCAATGATTTGTTATTGTAGTTATGTCTTGTTTACCCAGCAAAGCCTCATTGAGTCTCAAGACAATTCTAGATTTGAAGCTTCGTGACTGCAAGGATTCATAGTCTTAGGTTTTTTCGGTAAAGTCACGGAGGTAAAAAAAAATTAATAAAAGTAAAATAATAAATAAATAAGATCGCTTTATACAGCTATCGTGCTGTGACGGTTCCACCTGAAGACGGAGGCATGTGTTGCCTCCGAAACGTCGTGATTTTTATTTTGCTTTTATTAATTTTAATTTTTTTACCTACGTGACTTTACCGAAAAAACACAAGAATACGAATTTCGAGACAATTTTTTGGAAATTCTTTCAGTTATTATTTTTGCAGTAAAGGTGGCATTTTCTCTGTGTGTAATTCCAATAGAGTATTTTGCAGGTACATTTTTTGTTAGCATTGAGATGTTTGACCAATACCAGTTACATTGTGTTTTCGTGTTTAGCTAACATCACACGTGCTCTGTTGGGTAAAGTCAGCTTGTTTTTTAGTTTGGTCACTGGCACCACAGCGAACACGGCAGGACACTTTATATTGCGCATTATCAGATACGGGTCACGCAAATGCATCTGTGATTCACAGCTGCGCGAATTTGGTAAAATAAGCGGCGTTTGTTTTGAAACGGAAGAATCTGCATTGAATTCGCTTGGTAGTGGTTCCGCAAGGACGTGGGAAGTGCATGTTCTTTGGGGCAGGATAAGTTATCATTGGCAACAAAGTGTTCCTGTCCAGCGCAAATACATTGTTAATCTGTGGCTGTTGGGGCCAACAACAGGATGTTCATTACTCATGTTATTTACAGCGCGGTGTCGTAATGCTATTAGCCGCGCATACGCGTCGAGAAATCGGCAGCGTTCGTAATCCCTGTTTATTGTGGTAGTACGCGTACAGACTCAACAAAAACAAGGTTGATGCGGTACGTGTTGGTCACAGCGAGTAGTAGTAATAATAATAACACTGTTATGGGCATGTCCCCAGCACTTGGGCGTTCAGTTCAACTCACAATTACGGGCACAAAAACTGTGTTTTTTCTCTTCTGCCGATCCGGTGTGAAATCGCTCATCGCAATTATTCAGGTGCCAACAGAAAAATAAGGGTTTTGATGTCGGCCTTTCTGCTGCTTCAAATCCCGCCGCACCTCCGATTAGCACGGTTTGCTACGTACGGTGCGATCGAAGTTCAACATACACAACTTTTTGACAGTGCGCACGGCAGGAGTGTTATTTAAGACTTATCCAATGCTATTCCATGTTAATCATCTCAAGACATTTCACTTTTGTTCTCGAATGAAATATTGCAAAACTTACATAGAATTTACATGGAGCATGTAACAATTCAACCACTCGTTGACATCGCGCTCACTGATATCGCACGTATCATATCTTGAGTGTGAATCGATATATTTACGACTTTTGCCAACTGTATGCTCATGTTACTTTCAGGCCGATGTAATGAACAGGACAGAATGAGACGGAGCCAAGTAGACAAATGAGATGGGGGGGAAAATCCGATAAATTAATCAATCAAAGAAATTACTACCCCGAATGATAATGATTCGTTTGTGATACTGGGGGAGATGATTTGTTGCATATCTATTGTACACGCGACCTAGTTTAAAATTTACCTTGCACAACGTCTTGCTGCACCCATCTGCCATCGTTTCTTGTCACGTTTATGCTTTTCTATGAATAGCAATTCCGCTATGCCACACACCTTTTAAAATAGAACGTTAATCCCGAACCTCGCAGTTAATTTACACCCTGTAAGCTAATGGTGACAGCAGGTCATGTGGCGGCAATGGTTGATTTTTCCACGACAAATGAGGGATGGGCCTGGAAACACTTGATAACCCGCAGTCACTCATTGCCCCGAAAGTCAACTGTTGTTAAGAGGAGGTGGATTAAGTCCATGAAAACATTGAATCATTGTATCCATTGTGCCGCCACATTGTGGGAAATGATACAATAAAAACAATGACAAGTGGATTGTAAAATGTTCCAGTGAAGTTTGCATGGGTTGTTTCAAACAAGGAAGTTGAGGGGGAGTGGCGGTGCACTGATTAGCACGCTGCACTATTAATTCGGTGATATGGGTTCGATTCCCGGCCACGGCTAACATCAGTGGGGAGTGATATTAGAGCCTGTCCTGGGCCATCCCCCTCCACTAGCCCTAACTGACCAGCATGGTGAAGTATGATCCAACAACCCTCATGGCCGACACCACATGTGGAGGCTTTCAGTCAGCAGTGAACTGACAAAGGGCTGTACACATTGTAAATTGTATCTATTTTCAAATTTCTCTTGAATTTTTTTCTTAAATTGTGTTTCTTCAGTTGGCCACTAGATGGCTATTAGTGCAGCACACTGCTGTGTTGATACATTGTTGCCTGATGACCACACACCAAACCAGGCAGCGCTGCACTCCAAACCAGGCAGAGCTGCACACCAAACCAGGCAGAGCTGCACACCAAACCTGGCAGTGCTGCACAACAAATAACAGGTCATGCTGAACATCAAAACCAGGCAGTGTTTTTTTCTGACCGTGACGATATTAAAAAAACACTGCCAGCAGGCGGCGCTCTTGAAACACGAGACCGTATTGGAATCGACCTGCACGTTGTTAAAATACGTTATCCCTGTTGTGCAGCATTGATCATCGACATCAGCCATGATCAGTCGACTATTGTGGTATTAGGAATGCGTAACCTAGCCAGAATACTTATTTTTTAGGATGGTCCTGAATTGTGGATATTTGTCTGCCAGCACTACAGCATTTATATAATTTTGTCTGTATTAGCCTATGAGCTTTTTGGAGGAATGTTATCCAGCAAAAATTGTTTAAATGAATAAACTGTGGACCAGATACCTTTTTTAAAGAACGAAGCGTAGCCAGATGGACATGTTGCTTCGAGGTCATTCCGCTGTGCAGGCACTGCTGAGATTCTGGGCTCAAATCCAGGCAAGGGCAGTGAGTTGATGGTCTCAGCCGGTCACCAATGAAGGCGCAGTAAATCTATTTTACGAAGTATAGTTGGACACTTGATTTGACTACATTGCAGCTCTAGGGAATTGCTGCCCTCTGCCGTGTATAACAGAGCTCACCCGAAGGGATCTCAGAAGTAGATCTGTGGTATCATCTTACATGGGTTTTTTCTCGAACGTTGAACATTTCACTGCTCTGTAAGCAATCCGAATGGATTCATTCTTCATCTTGTGTGATGACACCGATGGCACACTCTTAATGGACTTGGGGGGGGGGGAAAACCTATTGTTAATTACGTTGACTTTTATGTCATTCTTGGTTCTTTCGGTAAAGTCACGTAGAAGGGAAATAAGAAAGAACCAAGAATATGAATCCCTGCAGTCACGAAAGCTTTAAATCGAAATTTGATGTAATTTCTTTTGTGACAAATCACGAGCACTTTTTCAAATAATTTAAACGTGAGCCATGACCAGTGCACAGTTTGCATTCGTCTCGGCAAACAGGTGCTGCCCCCTGCAGTGCGTGAATTACATTACTTGATGTGCATGCTGAATGAAACTTTGGTAAAAGATAATATGTCAAATACAGAACGAGAGCCATAGAAAAATGAGATGTTGACTACAGCACCTAAACACCAGCTAATAATAACCGCCATTCTACATGAAGTGGCGGTGTCGTCACCATGGCGCTTGTGCCATGCTAGGTGTACTTTGAGGCCACGGGAAGTGTTGAAGGCTCGCTGGCAGGAGGTCATGGGACAGACCCAGGTGTTATGGATTGACTGTGTGAGCTGAATGGCAGATGCACCAACTGTGCTTCCTACTGTGCCGACTTGCTGCATTTTAGCTGCCCGGCACTCAGCTCCTTGTTGTGAGCGTCGCTCCTCCGCCCTCTATCGTTGGTGGAGGGCGACTGCCTCCAACTGCCCAGTAGCGTCCCTCACGAGCCTCCTCCAAAGAGGCCGATCTTGACACCGCCTGGTACCTGTCGTCTATTTGCAAGTCCAGTCAGCTCCACATCCTTTTGTACCAGCCAAGGGACCATGGACACAGACCAACAAAGCAACTACGTGTTCAGACGCAGGTGATTGACCTCGGGCCCTTTAAACGTGACTATAATTCGTCTCTTAAAAATATGGCACTGTGCCTCACAGGTCGGTGTACGATGGCGCGGAGCACCAGCGCTTCCTGGAGAAGCTCGAGGCTCGGATCAAGAGCCATGACCGCGAGATCGAGAAGATGTGCAACTTCCACTACCAGGGCTTCGTCGACTCCATCACGGAATTGCTCAAAGTGCGCAGCGAGGCCGGGAAGGTGAAGGTGAGTCCCGGCTCTTCGCCAACCGCGGCTCACGACCGCGCCAACCCGGTAGCTGGCACCAGCACTGCCTTCGAGTGTGCGCGTAATGTGTGTGTGTGTTTTTGCGCGCGTCATGTGTGTGTTGCGCTACAAACCCGGTGACCCGAGTTCGTTTCCTGCTCACGACCAATAACAAGTGGAGAATAATTTGAACTGGTCCTGGGCCTCCCCTGGGTCGACTCGGCCTCAAATTAGTACCTGGTGCTGTGCGTAAACATTGCTGGCCACCTACCTCTTTGTGTGCTGTGCTGGCCTTCATAGGTGCTTACTAACGTCACTTGCCCTAACAGACTGTTAAGGCTATATGGGGGGTCTTTTTGGCTCGTGCTGTAGACAAACAATTCGTACAATCATTGGGAGGGCTGAATTGCCACTGACCCACTAATCATGTTCACCGGTCATCTTTTTGTTGAGCACATGTCACTACACGGGTTAGTATTAGCAGTGTTTAATACACGTCACATGCAGCTATATGCGCATGTATATTAAGTGCCCTTTTGTCAATCCACTGCTGGATGACGACCTCCCCACGCTGCTGTTTGACCCCACTCAACGCCATGCTGGTCAGTGCGGGTTGGTGAAGGCGTATAGTACGACGATGTCATCCATGGACTAGAGCAGATTTGGTACCACACAAGGTAACCAAACATTTGTAATACTTATTTATTTATACGCCTAATAATCGTTAATTAGATGATAATCCACTAATTTCAAATGGTTATCATAGAATTCACTGTTTTTGGCAACGTCGATAAATGGCAACCGCTAAAGTGATACCACTTCAGATGGTATGGGCGAGTGGACTCATGGACGAATGGATCTTTCTATCGTCTTAACAATTAGCTCACCATATTCTTCGTTCTTTCGTTAAAGTCACATAGAAGGGAAATAATAAAATAATACAAATATAAAACACATGGATTTCACACCTGATGATGATTGCTTGTGTTGCAGTCGAAACGTCGTGAGAATTTTTATTGTTTTATTGTTTGTATTATTTTACTATTTCCCTTCTACGTGACTTTACCGAAAGAACCAAGAATATGAATCCCTGCAGTCACGAAAGCTTTAAATCAAAATTAGCTCACTGTTTCCATTTGATTTGGGTGAATGGTAAATAATATATTATCGCACCCACAATTCGATACATGTTCCGTGAGCGTAAGGATCAAATGTAGTTGATGAATGGGCGTCGTTTCATGCCTGATGTATGCATCTTTAAATAAGCTTGTTTTTGCACGCAGCTATTTTTATGCAGTCTTCTGTGATTGATTCTGGGTTTCATTGTGTAAACCATGTGCTCTCTGCTAAAATTATGTTGCCTGTTGTAAAAGGTCACTTGGAAATGAAAGGGAAATATGGGTAGATTGTTTGACATTCCGATTTCCTTGCAGTGTCAAGTCGTTGCCACCAATAAGCAACTGCAGGAAACTGGAAAGGAGGTAGGATAAGGATTTATCAACTTCCTTGCATTATACACGGCCATTAACACACTTTTTCTTTAGTTTTAGAGACGTAAACGATACTGTTTCTCGTAGACCCATTGACTTGGTGAACCCTCTAACGTGACACTTAAATGTTGTTTTTCTAATACAAGTTATTTATACTTTGAAAATAAAGAATGAGCACTTGAATTAGCTTGCCAACATTGTTATTGGAGCTGACATTATTTGTTTTAAAGTGACATTTTGGGCCATGGATTTTAAAACATTTTTAGGTGAAAACAGTAAAAAAAATATGCCAATGGGAGGTCACCGGGTGGCTCAGAGGTCAGTGTCTTGAGCTGGCACCACTGAGATTCTGGGTTTGAATGTTGCCGGTTGCCTGTGATTAAACCTGTTCTCAAGTGTAGCGAGTTGATGATCTCATCTCAATCACCAATGATTGCAGTAGAAAAAACCCCATCGTAGCTAAATTGGTTTTACACTTTACTTGACTTTATTCCAGCTGTGAATATTAAAATTCTGGTTTTCATTGTCACCCAATGGACATTACAGTCTATGGCCGCTTAGGTAGGAAAGTGATGCCCCTTACACACGCATGCACACGTGGACAGAAAGCTAGCGCCGAGCCTGTAAAGTAGTGGCATTCCTGCCCACCGTGAGGCTGCCACGTGCAATGGGGATGTGACCCCCGCAGCTCGTGACAGAGATGGAGGAGCTGACGCGGTGTCGAGTCCAGCAGCGGAACATCGCCACCACGGTCGACAAACTCAACCTCTGCCTGCCCGGTGAGCGGGGGGGGGGGGCACACCTGTGGTGTTGCTGGGCTATCTTGAGCGTAAACCAGTGGCTGCCGATGGAAGGTCAAGAATCAAGGTAACGGCACCCTTTAATGGGCGGCCGCAGCGATAAGGCGTTGAATGAGCCGCGTTGTTGCTGCTGCTGCGCCGCTGCCGCCAGGGATATCGATCGAAAAAAAAACAGAAGGGAGGTTTTTTTTTTTTTGGACGTTGCTCTGTAAGTTTGCTTTGCAATTAGGGCCCGGGATGGGAGAGAGTGGCTGATTAATTTGAGTGACTTGACGGGCTTTTTCGTTTACTTTTGCCAGCTGTTTGCTCTGCTCAAGTAGGTATCGATTAAAGTGAGGTCTTTGGTTGTTTTGGTGGTGATAGGTTAGGCATTGCTTACGTGCTGGCCAGTTGGTATTCAAGGAGGGAAGGTTTTATAGTTATAAAACAAAGAATAATTTTATGCTTAAGATGACGATTGATTTGGTCAGCTACGTTGTTAAATAGGTGCTGCTGTGCAGCAGCAGTCATTCGTATAACGATTAAATATTTTAAATGAAATAAGTGCCATTCAAAAAAACCCCAGGAATTTAATGAAAATAACTTATTAATCTGTTATTTTAATAAAATGTATGCGATTAATAATACTAATAAAGGCTTCATGTTCTGAATTTGGGTTGTTCTGCCACTTTCATTCATGAGCATTTGGCATGTTGGATAAAACCTGAGTACCTAGAGCAAGGCTAGTTATATGAGCGACTGACAAAAAGTTCCACACACATGCATTCAAGAATCCACGTGGTGTACCACCATTTCACGCACCCCCCCCCCCCCCCCCGCAACCTAGCATGATTGAGAGTTTCACAATTCTCTGCACGATCCACTAACCCTAGTTTCCAAAGTACTGAAATTACACCTTGTCTGGCCGTGTTTTATGATGGGCGGTAACATTTTTACGTGACAATTTTCATTCCATCCAATGTAGTGGATGACCCATTATTTTTACACGCTTTCATTTAACTCACTCTGTCTGTTGTTGTTGTTGGCGTTGTTGTATCCTCAAATCTTGTAACAAAATTTTAACCCATTTCCCAATGTGGTATCGACTGCAAACTTGGTATACTTATAAAAAAACTTAATTTGGAGCTTTCGTGACTTCAGGAATTACTCTTTGGTTCTTTCGGTAAAGTCACGTATAAAGATAAAATAATAAATTAAATACTAGCATACGACGTTTCGATTGCAACACAAGCAATCATCATCAGGTATAAATGAAATAGAAACACAAATCTGGTATACTTAGAAATGTAATGTAATACAACAGAGAGTCGGATAATATGACAGTCAACACCCTACCTGGTTGATTACGTTCTTCCTGAGAATGCTAAATTTGGTATACTTATGTCATAATCATGACAATACTATATTCTATCATAAAAAATAAAACATTTTAAACAATCTTTTTTTTGTTATGTTTTTCGGCTTGGGTCTAATTGTCCACAGTAAACTGACGTTGGCTGTAATTGACGTTATGGCAAGCTTCGGGGCCACTTCCTGGAGTCGTGGACTTCTTCCATTACTAGTACATTTCATAAAAGCGTGTTCAAAAAAAAGTTTTTAAAAATATGACTCATTTAAACATAGCATCGAGGTCTTAGAAAATTTGGCGAATAGAAGAACTGCCGCTTGATGGACAGGAAATGCACTGACCTTGTGGCCGGTAAATAGACCAACAGTAAATAAGCTGCGCCATGGCATCTTCACCAGTGACAAGCTTGTTGTTGCCTGTTCGTCGTGACAGAAAACAAGCTTTTAGTGGGTCAGCTGAAGTTCACTCTTTGTTTGTTGAAAGTTAGAGCATATTAGCTTAAAGCTGCTATGACCACTGGCTCGTGTGTTTTATTTGTTCGTTGTATTTGCCTTTGCCGAGCACTTTGTTTTTTATTTAATGAAATCACATTTGTGTCAAAAGATGCCTCTTTAAAATCCGTCTTCATAAAACTGAAGTTTATTATCGATTTTTGTTATTCTTTTTCTTAGAATTGTTGATTTTTTTCACCACTGTAATAGACATTGAATGCCTTTATATTTATTTTCAGTATTGGAAATGTACAGCAAGCTTAAAGAGCAAATGAAAGCAAAAAGGTAAGTCAATTCAATAACTGTGGTTACTACTTCAAAAATAATTAATCACAATAACTTACGTGCCTTTGGCAGCCCACTTCTGGATGAAGGCCTCACCGTGTCGCGTCGGTTATGGGGGTTGTTTGATCCGCATCTATCCACGCTGCTCGGTGTGGGTCGGTGAAGAGACTGACCCAGAACCGGTCCAGAATTCACTCTACACTCACGTTAGCCATGGCCGGGAATCGAACTCGGGGACCAGGTTCATAGTGCTTCTTGCTCATCGCTGTGCCCCTGCTCCTCCTACGAAGCAGTTTAAGGGCTGCAATCCCCCCCCCCCCCTTCCTTAATCCTTCCTCCCCACCCTGAAAATACCACTTTCCCAAACGGTGCCCTTAGACGAGTAGGGCAGTGAGTCCAGCCACCTTCCCTGTTCCCTGCCCCGTGTGCACCTGTCCTCGGACTAATTGTCCACGGAATGTCTGTACTCCCCTCTCCCCATCGCTCGTGCTTTGTCCGGGGCTCTTGATTAATAAAAATAACACCATGAAGAAATTAAGAGCTGGAAATGGGTTTGAGGAGGGGTTATTGTGTTTCTGGCCAGGTCAGTCGAGGTCTGGGTCCTGTACCAATAGAATTTCGTCTTCGTGTGGTGGCAAACATTTTAGATCACCAGGTTACCCAAGAAAAATACCAAAGTTTGTCAACTTAAATAATAAGTTATACAACGCTCAAAGTAAACATTAAGCAAGACGAATTCATACACTATCTTCCCTCTTGAATTTACTTGTGCAATTGTAGCTGAAGTTTTTAATTTTAATGTCAACAGGGTTTGTTGAAGTACTGTAAAAGGCATCACCATATGCCTTGAGTCATCGTTGCAATGTTATCTGGCGTGCGGGTTTTGCAGTGACTTAAGAGCAGAATGCATTTGTGTTGGCGGGGGATACAGGAATACTGTACAGACTTTAGTAAAAGCTGGTTGGGCTTATTGCAATGCACCAAGTTAAAGCACTTTATGGTTCACTTGGCAAAGCAGCCGTGGGCTGCATGAGTAATTGAACGTCTGTGGAGCAAGTGGGGTTCACATTATGTTTTGTCTTCAATTTTAGGGTTGTAGCTTCTAAACCTGCATCATCAATTTCTTGACTCTGAGTATGACCTGTCAGAAGGGACTTGCGCCGTTAATTGAAAGAGGGACACTTTGTGCGGGTCACCGTCTGAATTTGCACGTAGCTGTGTGACTTTGAAAGTGTATTTTCATCTTAGAATTGGGAAAATGTGCAATGCTGAGCAGGGGCTGTTGATAAGAAGTCACTTGAAGAGATTTTAGAAGCAGTTCTGTGGTACGGCCTCATGCAGATAATTTTCTACAACACAGGGTGATGCACCTGCTCCGTGAGAGTTCCGAATGAAATGCTTCGTCACATTACACGCTGCCGATAGTATGAACATGATAAAATTAGTGAAATTAAAAACTGCTGCATTAAGTTGTTTTTGGGTTGAATCGCGTAAATATAAACGTGTCCTTAAACCCACCACCACCCGACACAGCCAATTAGTCAGGTTTGCCACGTAAACAAAAAACGTGACAATTAGTTACTACCATTGGAACCTCATTTGCCAGTAAAAAATATGATAATTGTTTTTTTTACCCTTCTATCTGGCAACAAAACTGACACTTTTTGGCGTCATCTGGTCCAACCCATGTGAGACTAGGCTCTAAGGAAAGCTCTCTCGGGTGTGGACCAATCAACTTCAAGAACAGTGCATACATTATCAGAGTTATGTTTTTTGTTTGCATTATGACTGCAGGTATTGTGGTCTATGCAAACATGACTCCTCGTAAAAAAGGTGTCAGTTTTGTTGCCAGATAGAAGGGTAAAAAAACAATTATCAATTAGTTACTAGTTTAGCACACCAGTGTGTTGGTGAGTAAACCCACAACGTTTACAATTTACTCTCCAACACACCGGTGTGCTAGCGAATTGGCGTGTTTTGTTTACGTGACAAACACTACTAATTGGCTATGTCGGGTGGTGTTAGAGAGTAAACCCACCATATTTACAATTGGAGTACGACGTTTCGCTGATGATTAATTACAACCAGTCTCATCAGGAAATTATTCAGAATTGTGAAGAAGTCTTCCCGTTTTGCTCTTAATTATTATGGATAATATTGGTTGCGAAAGTCTACGTGTACAAAAAAAACAACCTCCGTGTGAAGTGCAGTGAGCAAAAGTCGCGGGTTCTGCACGCGTGCGCAGGTACTACCCGGCGCTGAAGATGCTGGACGTGCTGGAGCAGGAGTACCTGCCACTCGTGTCCCAGTACCGCTTCTCGCGCCTCATGCTCGACACGCTGCCCCGACTGCGCCAGGAGATTCGCGACGTCTCCTATGTCCGACCTCAACGACTTCCTGGAGAGCATCCGCAAGCACTCGGACAAGATCGGCCAGATGGCCATGAAGCAGGCACGTGGGCAGGGCAGCACGTGCATGTGCACGCGTGCACACACTGCACATACGCAGCAATTGTACCAGATACTCATTTGAGGCTTCATCGACCTAACGGAGGCCAAGGACTGGTTAATTAATCATCACTGGTATTTGGCATGAGCAGGAATTTAACTCGGGTCGCCGAGCTTGTAGCGCAAATCAATATACCACTGCTCCCCTTACAACAACAACAACCGCCATTCGCCACTAAGTGGCGGTGACGTCACTACGACGCTTGTGCCAGGCCATGTGCACCTTGAGGCCATGTGAAGTGTCGAATGCCCGCTGGCAGGAGGTCACTGGGCAGACCCAGGTGCCATGGGTCGACTGGCCGAGATGACCGAGATAACTGGCTGATGCACCACCTGTGCCCCCTACTGTGCTAACTTGCTGTGCTTTAGCCACCCTGGCGCTCTACTCGTTGTGAGCGTCGCTCCTCTGCCCTCCGTTGTTGTTGGAGGGCGACTGCCTCCAACTGCCCAGTAGCGTCCTTCATGAGCCTCCTCCACAAAGGCCGATCTTGACACCACTGGTACCAGTCATCAGCAAGTCCACTCAGCTCCACGTCCTCCTGTACCACATCACTCTATCTCTTCTTTAGCCCTGTGCCTCGCCCGTTTAGCCCCCTCGATCCTGGCCGAACAAAAGCTGTTTAGACACGCGCGTCATACGTAATGCACACGCACCTGCACACATTCGTGCCACGTTTATTTCACGTATATACGGCATAGTCATCACATGCTCGCATGCGTGATACATACCTGTCCGTGCATGCACGATGCACATACGCCTGAACACGCGTTGATGCCGCGTATCTACCACCCACAGTGGGGAGTGGCTTGCACACACATAAAAAAACATTTGCAATTTGCCTCCATGCGGCTCCTGGCCTCACTTTGAGGGCATGTGAAATGTCAAAAAGTTGCCGGGTTAGGCCACAGGTTATGCATCAACATGGCTTGGGGTGAATTTCTAATATTTAATAAAATAAGCACTTAATAGATGGACAGGCATCTGTGTCGATCGCTAAAGAATTTAGTTTTCAGCAAGGAAACACCCTGAACCGACTCTCATCAGCAAGCTGTAAGCCTATTAAACCAATGCTATAACGTACTGGTGATGGAATGGCTGCCAAAGGAGGGATCGAACATAATAAGACGTACGACCACCCTCAGAGGACTGGAAGTCGCTTTAGGTGCCTCGTATGCCCAAGGGGACTAAGACCACGTGCCACACAAGTTTTGGGTGCGGAGAGAAGCAACCGGCATGTGAAAATTCAGCACCGTATTCTGCTCCGGTTTTTGTATCCAAACACAACCGGCTCAGCCACAGCCTGTGTGAACGCTCCAGTGATGCGTATCCAGATGTGAAAGGGCTCTCTGCTTGCGCTCCTGTTACCGACGCGAGGAGGTGGGAGTCCGGGCTCGGCGGTTCGACGTGTGTGTAGCATGACGTCCACCTACTGGTGATTCCATTGCAAAAGGTCAAACAGCTGCACCGCTTGGAACTGGCCGCTGCGATTTTTGTGGGGGCGTGCAGATTTTCTGAGCTGCTGCGGAGGAGGAGGAGATATTTTTGCTTAGCACCAACAAAAAAACGAACAGGGTGACTTCAGGGGCAGGCTGTTTGAAAGTCATCTCCAGTCATCTCCATTAATTATTGGATTATAATCCAGATTTTTATCTGGATTATAATCCAGATATATTTTGTATCGTGGTGAAGCTTAGCGTGGTCATTGTGCGCCGTTGCTGCTACTGCTGTTGCCGAGTGGACGATAATACCACAAGACCGTGTTGGTTAAATCGCCACGAGCTCACGCTTAATTGCTGAATTTGCACCATGGTGGTGTGAGCCAGCAGGAGCGTTAGGACATGGACTCCTTTCGGAGCAGGAGCGTGCACTTTGAAGGCTTTCTTGGTCAGCAGAGGGCGCCACAGTACTGTATAGCACAACTACTTTGTTGTTGGGCTTGCACGTAACATGTTTTACGCCTCGGTTCATTTGGTTGCGATCTTCAACAGAAGTGCAGGGCTGCAATGCAGCGTCAAATTTTAATGTCGGCGTAACTTTTCACTTGAGGTCGGTTGCATGAAATGTTTACATTTGATCTGCATTGGCCTTTGAGATTGTGGCATGCATGTACACTGCTTGGCCCACGCTGCAACGGGAGTCGTGGGAGTTGTTTGACCATACCTCACCGTGCTGGCCAGTGCGGGTTGGTGGAGGTGGGGAGCATAGATGTGGGAGAATTGTACTAAAATAGATGTTGCTGCATTGAACTCTGCTGCCTATAATGTAGCATGACGCAGCCTGAAACTTGGTGTTTTATGCATAGTGGTCACCTATGCATGCACTATACGCAGTGACCAGGGGCATTCGTCTGGCGTTAGGGGGGCGATAATTACTACGTATAATCCCAATTGTGTAATTTTTGGGTAAGCTTAGAATTTAGCAATTTTGTATCCTGCTTGGCCTTCTCTTGCGGACAATGGCAGGAGATCTTTAACGTCCACTGTGTAGTAGATGGCACGCAGTATTATCAGTCATTACACCTGCGGTATGCAGATTCGGAATCTTCATTTAGACTTGAGGAATCCGATGGGCTATGAAGCTATTTTTCACCGGTGTCCTATATGGACGGGGTCAGCAAGTTACAACAGTAAACAAAACCAAAAAAGGATGAAAGTGCAAAATAGAGAAAATGATAAGCAAGTAACGAAATATAAGTAAATAAATAATAAATCGTTCATATAAGTCCGCTTTATTAACCTTGGGAAAGGCCGCAAAAACAACAACAAAACAGTCGCAGGCCACACTAAAATAACACCACACAGCAGTTGTCCCTCAATAAAATGGCCCATTCACTTGGAACTATCGTTACACAACTCAGGATCAAAGTTACAATTCGCAATTGCAAATGTGACTGTATCCACCACTAATCTTCTGCTTCAGTATTAACCAGGGTACTCGCTTTCTCCGAACCATGAGCCTCTGCAACAAGTGGCGAATGCATTACTGCTAAGGCCATGTCACCGTCCAAGGCATTAAATACCACTGAGGTTGATATGCAGTACGACAGATATGTAGGCTGTACTGTTTTGTCCCTGTTGAACACATTTGAAAACACTGCCAAACTGCATAAAGCAGTGCAAAGATAAATCATAAATTGTAATTTACTGCCCGTTATAAAGCCACTGCTAGATGATGGCCTCCCCATGCCGTAGAGGTTGCGAAAGTTGTTTGCCCATCCTTCATGCCGGTCAGTGCGGGTTAGAGAAGGCGGTTACCAAGACTGGTTAGATTATCGCTCGCCAGCGATGTTCGCCATGCCTGGGCATCGAACTTTGGTCGTCATATCGTCTGGGTCTTTAGCCAAATGCGCAAACCACTGCACCATGGCTGCCCGCTGATGCAGTGCATGAAGAAAATTATGAAAGGTTATTTAATGTTTTTATGTGTATTTAAATGCCATTCCCTATATTGCAAGGTGCTGTTTTAATGACGGGTTTATAATATGTAACAATACGTCATTAATTAATACATTTCCAGTTGAACGTGCAGAAATGCACGCACGCACGTACACACCCAACAAATCCCTACACACACGTGCGCCCACACACACCACACACCCACACACACGCCCACACGCTCCGACAAGTGAACCACGCACACACACACACGTGAGACTCGATAAATACAGAACGCCAGAATTTACCCGGGCAGCTTTACGAGCGTTGTCGCGAGTGCCGCCCCGGCCTGAACGCGGGCGCGAATAAGTGAGCAGAGGCCACGAGATGCGGAGCATCAACAGGGCGAGCACATCGCACTTCGGGGTCAAACTGTGGGTAAAACGAACTTTGTGGTATGCAGGCGGGCGGGCAGGCAGGCAGGCAGGCAAGCAAGCAAGACGTAAATAGGTCTGGCCTCTGCGTGACACGGGGGAACAATTCTTCGCGGGCGATAACGTCGGTGGGAAAAGGCGATAGAAGGGTCGGGGAAACGGAGACGGCGGGGGTTGGGGCGGACATTCGTTAGGCATGGATTCGTACACCTGTTGCGTCGCCTTTCATGTCCCCCCCCCCCCCCCCCGCTTTGCTCTTTTAAACCCAAGCTCGTGTTTTTGTTTAGTGCTTGAAAAACGCACACAGGTTTTGGTTCCGTGCCGCAGTGTCAAGTTCACAGCGGTTTAAACCCGACGTTCCCTGGTTACGGACTTTGCTTTTTTCCTTTTTGCGCGGCACACGGTATAAACGCGCAGCCCCAGTGATACCCACGCACCTGCGGCTTTGTCTGCTCTCGCATCGCCATTGTCTCTGTGACGAGATAAAAGTAAAGCAGCAACGAAAGACAAAACATTCCTCGCTGATATTCCACTTGATTACATTCACGTGGACTTCACAGAGTTCATGACCAGCATTCCTGCGCACAATTTATCACCATTTCATGCTGAGAAGTAGATGCCCCACTGTGTTCTTTGTGTGTGTGTGTGTATATATAAAGTGGGGAGTGATAGTGTAGAGGTTAGGGCACTGTGCTACGAAGCCAGTGACCTGAGTTGGACTCCCGCTCACGGCCAAATTATCTGAACCGGTCTTAGGCCTCTCCGCTAGGTAAACGCAGCCTAAAATGAGTACCTGGTGCGTTGTGTAAGCATTGCTACTAGGGAGACAAAGGCGGTCGGGCGTGGTGCTGGCAACCTACCCCCTTGTATACCGTTCCAGCGTTCATAGCTGCTCGCTAACAGCACTTGCCCTCACAGTCTGTTAAAGGCTATACGGGGAATTTGTCTTTTGTATTATTTAAAACATTGCTGTGAGAAATGTTTTTATTTTATATGTAGAAAATACGAGAAGAGTAAAACTTATTTTAGTAACTTAACCAAAAATTACATCATCTTTTTTTTATAACGATTGAGGAATATCCTTCAGTTTTAAGAATCAAATAGATACATTTAGGTGCTATGTACATCAAATTTGTAGTGTAGGAAATATTTTTCTTTGCCTATCACACAACCAAATGTCAATAATCGCTGGCAGGTTTTACAATTCAGTTAGCGATACACGGTATGAAAATGTATTCAAAGCTCTTCTATTACACAATTGTGCTCATTACGTAAATCCTCAATTTACTTGCTTAATTAATGAACAAATGACACAGCGTTTAACAAAAAAGCGTATCAGGGGATTTCACGGCGTGACCTTAAATATGCGCGCCTCGTGTATTTGCATGATGCGATTTTGCGGCGCGTTGCGGTAAGTTACGCCAATGGCTTTATTATCCACACCTAACTTAAACATCGGATTGACGTTGTCGAATGCTGCATTCGCACTTTTTACATTTATCTCCGCAAAGTTGCGACGATCCTCGTATTGGACGACGCCGCGCGTCAGCATCCACACGCCTCGCGTGCAGCGCTCGCCGAGCGCACGGCGATCGACCGCCGCTTGCCCGGCAAGGCATCGGCGAGGTTTAGTTTTCTGTCGCCGAGTGATTACAGTGACGGGAACTGCAGCGGGTTAAACCGCAGCGGCCATTATGATTGTCAGAATTACTTCTGTTGATACGATCGCTGTCTTTAACACACATTGGCGTTAATGAAAAAAATAATATGTACAATTTCCACAAAAGGGTGCGATAAAAAAACTGAGTTTCTTTCGAACTTAAAATAATTTTCAATCAAGCAAATGCACTCGTCACTGAATCTCGATTTTGAATGTATTCGTCAGAAATATTTTTGGATACGGTAATTAAAAGTTCCGCTAATAAAGATACATTAAACAGACTGACTGACCAACAAAATCTTATTCTTTCTTTCGTATGGCGGGAGAGTTGTTCGGTAACGTATATATGGTCGTGACGGTGAGTGAGCCAGTGCTTGGACGGATTCGCGAGTGACCTGGTGAAATCTGAAACCCTGACGGTCAATGATCGGAGCGGGCAGTGGCGTTACTATGCGGTCCACGGTTTGAGATTGGTGACCACAGTTGCACTGCGAGCCATTCTTAATTCTCCGTCGGCCTCGGAGATGGTTGCGTCTATCGTGCGGTGTTCTGATGCGGCTTGCACGCAGGGACTCCCGAGGGTGGAATCCGAGGAACATTCAGAGGATCGTTGGATCGGTTCGAGGGTTGGTCAGGGGATCCGTCGGTGGCTTTCAGAGGTCTACGTTTGTACAAGCACTTTATATATATGTGTGTGTGCGTAGCTCTATCGGATTTCTCATTCAGGACGTTGTGCGCACTCTAACTTTGCTCTCTTAATCCTCACTTGCACAATTCTGCACTTGGGTGTGCAGGTGGGATGTGACTCATTACTGCTGCTGTCTTCTCCCGCCTGATGTAAAACAAACTGGTTTACGCAGACTTCATGACAAATTGTACTTTTGACTTTTGAGTGCTGGTGTCACTGTGGGTCACTAAACTAGTGAAGCTTGTCAAAAGTTCAGAGCTGTTATCATCTAGATTGAATTTCGCCTACCTGTTGAATTATAACCAGCATGTTAACAGCTGGGGTGGAACCTTGGCATAGTGGTCGGTGCGCTACGTTACAAATGCTGACCCGAGTTCGATTCCTGGTCCCGCCTTGCATAGGTGGCGAGTGATATCTGACGCTGTCCCGGGTTCCCCTTTCACCGGCTAGTACCGAGTAGGTTGTTGAAGTATATTCAAACAAATTCCTATATTAACAAGTGTGGGGGGTGATGGCTTCTTTCAGAATTGGATTGACAAAGGGAGAGAGACATAAGACGTCTAACAGCTGATTGCATGGTAGCACATCGCAATCTTTACGAGCTACTTAAGCACTTGACGTAAATGCCACAGCGGACTGACCTTTTAGCTACAGTCTAACAGCCGGTTATTTCAGTATTACACAAAGTACAGTACTGCAGATAATTTTCACACGAACAAAACTGCTCCGAGAACTCGCTTTTCTGGATAATAACGCCGTTGGATATTGTATTACCCTGAGTGTTTTTGTAGCGATGGCCCATATTATTTCGTGGGCGATGGCGGTACTGATGTTTTTCGAACCCGGGTCACTGGGCCGGGAGTGCATTGAACATTTCGCCATGCCATTCCCGTCTCGTTATAGGGGTTAGAGCCTAATAGGCCTAATCCCATCGTCGCCGTCATATCACGTGCCACGATGACAATCAGTCAGAGCTATCGTCCGGACTCAACGAGGACGCCGCACCGCACCAAGAGCTTCGTCGCAGCGAGCGTCGTGAACCCGGGGTTATCGCTCTTTTAATGAATATTTTTAAACCGAGCGTATCACAACACGCTGGCCGTTGAGAACGGATCTACGTTGACACTCGAACTCTGAGACACGGTGCTGTTAACACCTTTCGTCGTTATGGCTGCAGTTCCATAATAATCGACTTGACAACATCATTTTGTGCTACAGTGTACAAAAATTTTAACTGTTTAATGGTCCAAGGAGAGGTTATAAGTGTCAAGACATACGGCTGTGGGAGGGGGTGGGGTGGGAGGGAAACGGTTTCACTGTGACTATGAAGGAATGATCGTACGATAGCGAAACTTGGTGTGTGTTTGGAATATGTTTTTTGGAACAATTTATCTCTTATTAAATGTATGTATATGTCCCGTATAGGATTTTTCAGTCGTTAATTTACCTTCAGCAATTGTCCGAGGTATGTATTTTCTAGTTGTATCCCTGCAATATATATCTTCCGTTGTATAGATCTAGAATATTTATTCCTATGGAAATTATTGAAAACAGATCAAAACATTATAGGATACAGAGGCAAATGGGAGCAGGTTGGGGCACTTTTGGAAATCTCAACTTGAAAATGAAAAGCAATGTGGCTCCAAAAAAATAGTTTTTAATCTGCACATTTATCGTGCTCTGACATGATCTAGACACGGGAAATGACAAAATAAATTAAATAAAAGCTGAATAACAAACATGTATAGAGAGACGAGTGTTTGGGAGATGCTGAGAGCCAGAAAGAGGCGCACATGGATGAGAACACAAGCAAAAATTTTTAGATATTAAAACTATGAACAATTGTTATTTTACCAGGTAAGGCCCACTGAGCTATATAGCTCTTTTTCAAAAGCGACCTGGCCACAAATAATGGCTCAACAAAGTGGCTTATGACGTGGAAAAGAGAGACATGCAAAATCCAGATATGCAGGTGTCAGGGCCGAGATCGAACCCACGACCTCCGTTTACCAGGCGAGGTAGTTAACATCTCGCCACCTTGGCGCCCATTATATCGACCGTTAAGAAAGTGAGCTTGGGTAGGACGCGTCGCTCGAAGCGATGATCGCCCATGGTCGAGACTGACGATGGAGTGGTGGCTGTGGGAGGAAGTTTGCCCAGGAAGACGTCCGCTTTGGGAACGTAGTGATGTTGCCTCCGAAACGTCGTGATTTTTATTTTATTTTTATTTTACTTTTGTTAATTTTAATTTTTTACTTACGTGACTTTACCGAATTAACCTAAGAATATGAATCCTTGCAGTCACGAAAGCTTCAAATCTAGAATTGATGAAATCGACTCGTGTGCACCAGCTGGATGGATTCCCGCACCGTGGCACCACGAGGATCGGTCGCGGCTGTCGGCGACTGTCACGAACCCGAATTAAATGACGCGCGCATGTCCGTTGTAGGCTCAGAGCCAGCGGAGCCTGGACAGCGCCGTGCACCAGCGGCAGAAGAGCGCGGAAGCCCAGAGAGGTCGCGGCAGGGAGGCCGCCGGGCCCGGCTCGGACGCCGAGCCGGCCGGGAACAGTCCCGCGTCCGAGCAGGACTCGGGCATCCTGGACGAGGACGAGGAGGAGGAGGAAGAGGAGCTCGAGGAAGAGGTGGGTGGCCGGTTCGGTGAACTTCACATTTTCTTGTGTCTGCCTTTGTATTGCAGTGCAACGTCGAGTTTCCTACCGTGGCCGTTGAACCGGCCGTACCCGGTGCGCAGTGTAACATTCACAAGTACAAACCTTCTCGCATGCATTCACTTCTAAAGCACAGTGAAGCATTCTGTCATGTTCAAGCAGTGTGACTGTCATGACTGTCATTTTCCATAGATGTTCACAAATCTGACCTTTTTATATAGCCTTTATATAGCCGCCAATATCTCGGTCAAGATCGAGTCGAATGTTCGACGTTGTACTTTACAAAACTGACATCCAAACATGGGTAAACCACACAACACAAACTTAGTTGAGAGGAAAATTCTGGCACGCTGGAGTTTGAGGCGGCAAGAAGCTTCCACGTGAAGGTTCCCAGTTTCAGTTGGAATGCACAAGATGGTTAACGTCTCTAAATGAGCTCAAGCTTTCCGTGAATCGCTTGACTTCGGTGTGGCCACCACTCCCACTGTGAATCCTTGCTTTTTCCCCACCTCCTTTGAAAACAGACAACGCTCATTTATTTACCCAGGAAAGAGTCACTGAGTCTCAAATAAGGTTTAGAAGGGTCATTTTATTAAAATGTTTTGCCAGTGCTTTAAATGAGAGTTTGGCATTTGAGAGGCAGCCTTCCCATCCAAGTAACTCACCAGGCTCAGACATTGCCTAGATTTTGAAATCTGCCACGCACGGGCGTGTTGAGCATTGGGCAGGAAAACCTGATCACGCAGAGGAGACCCACACAAATTAATGGGTGCTCTATTATTCTTTGGTTCTTTAGGGAAAGTCACGTAGGTATAAAATCAAATAAATTAAATCATGTGATTGAATTTATTGTATTTGAGACCTACGTGACTGTACCGAAAGAACCAAAGAATATGGATCCCTGCAGTCACGAAAACGTAAAATCTAGATTAATGGGTGATTACTCATACATGGCACGCATAGGGTGGGTTCCCGTGTTCTGTTATACAACAGTGTTCCTCATCTAATTTTCATAGGGGGGCCACTCTAAGACATCGGTATGAGGGCTGCCACACATTTGAAACCATTGGGTTTGACAGCATGATGGGGTGTGTTCACGTGTTGTGTATTGTCAGGGGCCGCACAAAAGGCCAACAGGGGCCGCCAGTGGCCCGCAAGCCTTGCAATGAAGAACACTGTCCTACAGTCATGCAGTTTGGGGTAGCTTGGTAGTCCAGTGGCCATCATACTCACCAGTGAGCCATTAATTAAAAACAGTAATCCCTTGTTGAATATGGTAGATGCATTCCTTAAAAGTGCCCCATTGAGTGACAAACCGCGTTAAGGGAGGAATTACTTTACTGAATCACATTTGGACTGTTTCAGCCTGCAGTCATCCCATGGCAGGACAAAGAATTGAGATGAGAGTATGCTGCGTACTGTATCATTCCGCGTACTGTATTGTTGTGCCGCTCAGCCACGCAGCTCAAGAAAGTAAATTGTCGTCGACTGCTCAGAAACCGCCTTATAACGGTGCGCATTCCGCATTGTGCGAAAAGTGTTCTCGAATATAAGAATCGTGTTAAGCTATGACTTACCGTGCATTCCAGTTTGCATACAATTTATGGTTAATTTTCTATAGCTGCAAGGAATTACCAAAGCCTTTGATCCGCTAAAGTAGATGTAAAATTCCTGTGACATCGTTCACAAACAGTTTATTATTTTGGAGCAAGTATTGATTGCCGATTTAAAAGGGACGTATTTCCGTCACGTACATTGGCAAGCAAAAAAAACGGTTTGTTTCTATCTTCATCTTTTAATTTAATTATCATTCTTGATGTCTTCACATATGGGTTAACAAAGTTTTCGTGTTGATTTGTAGCATCAGTATATCTTGTTCACAAGTATTCACAACTTTATTTGACACACAAAAAACTCAATTGTGATAAATGTACTTGCACGAGTGGCACATGCGAACCATGTGCCACTCACTTGCCGTCCCAATTCAACGATTTCTCGAATAGCACGCTATATTAACATTTTACTACAACAAAAAACAACATCCATGAAGCCCAGCTGGAGTAGTTTTGTTACCAAACATATACTCTATTGATTTAAACAAGCGCCTAAAAACTAATCATTCCAGCGGCGGCACAAAGCCGATGGTTGTGGCCGCGTGCCAATTTTCTCGTAACCCTATACATATATCGCTGCAATTTTCACTCAATAAATTCACTTGTGTGTTGTACAACAGCGAACGCCACACGGGGTGCAGCCAGATTTTTATCAAAGCGTGTAAAGCTCCCACTGCCGTGGCATATTCGTTTGAAGTGCTTGTAATAGCAGGGGTAAAGAGTTGAGTACTTTAGGCTGATTTCCATGAGGTCACTCCGAGGCCACGGTTGCCACAAAAGAGCCCTGGTAATCTCGGCTCCGTCGTGCCGATTCCGCACCGATGACAACTTCTCTGGCCACACGGCGGCCTTGCGTGCGAGGTGCAGGTTCCGAGCGCGAGCTGGGTTGCGCAGAGGTCAGTAATCTGTTCGCATTGTGCAGAAAATTTGCGCTGTCATTGCGGTCGTACACATCGCTTCGGGCAGAGTTTTATGAGATGGCGTAAATTACATTTTTGTAAGGCCCCCATGTGGCGAGCGTTTCCTTGCACTTCTAGGCGTCCTTCCCGTTCAACTTGATGGCCGCGTACAATGCACAGTAAATAAAAATGTGCTGCCAATGAAAAGGCGTTTTCGTGCGTATTTTCGACTCAAGTGCGATAAATAACAAACAACGCCAGGGAAACTCGTGTTATTCCACTTATTGCCATGTTAAAAAGATACATGCGTGCATTTGCTGCTGCTGAAATTCTGCAAAAGGCCTTTGCGATGGAAAAACGTGGTTTATTTATGAGAACGGTTGAACCATGGCTCTTCACAGCACTAATATTGTGCAGCCTCTTTCAAGAGTGACATTTAAACGTCTGTGTTTATACGCTCTTCCATAAAGGGTTACTCTTTATACGAATTTAACAAAAAAATCCTTGAATTTATTTTGACCACATTGCTCAAGGTTAAGCAAACGGTCGCGTTTTGGTGTTTCTTGGAACGTGCGGTTATTTAAAGGCGGTGCGTTTATTTTTTTTCTGTCGAACCCCCGGCGGTGCCCTCCTCTGTTGGTTCGTCCGCCGGGTTAAGCAAATGGGTATTTCTTTTTTGTTAGTATTTATGGGGGTTAGTAAGAGGCCGTGTGTACGTTACAGCCGCGTCTGACCTCGGGCTGCACCCCCCTATGTTTATACACTGATGAGGACAGACGTGCTGGAACGGGATGAGAGTTGTCGGCCATATGAAACCTCCTGTCCCGTCCGTGTAATTTTCGAGTTATCTCGTCCATCTCTGACGCGCTTTGCTCCGAGGTCACGTTCAGGTCCATCAGATAAAGCGGTGACTTTCTGGAGTCTGCCTCTCTCTCTTTTTTTGTTGTTGTTGCTGCTGCTGCTGCCCGTGCTTTTTTGGCCAACTTATCTCTCGGAGTTTTTTTCTTATTGCGTGCCCGCTGGATATCAGGGTGCAACCCCGTTGGCCGCAGACGTGAAACTCGTAAACGGGGCGGTTGAGCCGGGGTGCAAGCGCGCTTCGGGGAAAGAAAAGAAAGCGCTTTTCTTTGGTTTAATGCACCACAAAAACGGAACAAGTTATTCTCAATACCATCTGGATACCACCACCGATCGTGCATAGGCAGTCGGCCACATCATCCCACGTCTGGGAAAATCGAGGGCTCCAGAATGCCCGGAGTGTGGGATGTGCTTTGCTGGTTGACTGCTCACGTTTGCAATGGGCACGTAGTTTTGCCTTGCGCAAGGTTTACATAATGTGTAATAATAATAATAGTCGTACACAGTCCTTTGCCATTCCACGACTGCATGAAGGTCTCTCCACGCCGTGTCAGTTGTACAGCTCGTTCGGCCATATTTCACCACCCTGGTCAGTGTGGCTTGGTGAAGGGGGGGGGGATAGGTCTGGTTTAAAGAGCACTTGGCACTGGTGATAGTTGTGACCGGGAATCAAGTTCAGGTCGTTAGACTCATAAATGTGTTTATTTAAGTAATAAGTTGCCATGTATTGCTTCACCTCCCTGGTGATTTGATACATTTTTATGAGCAGTGGTCACAATTGAATGCAGCAGTCAAATTATTTGTCTAATTTTTACCATCTCCTTGGCGTTGCTTCTTGTTAGTTCCATCTTGACCTTCAGTATCGTTCACTTTATTGGCTTAACTGTAAAATGTTCACGTAATTTGCACAGGCTACGTATAACGCATTCTTCATCGCACAATTGAATATTTTTACCGCGAGCTTAGGATTTCACTTTAATCGATTAGATTACCTCGTTGCATGCTTAACAATCAGTTCATGAGGTGTTTGTAAAGATGGATCGCATGAAGCGGACAAAATTGTAAGTTCACACTTTGCTCAGGGTGGCTTGCTTTGTCCAGAAGATAATATGCTCGGTTTCCTACAGAACCATTTAAGTCAAATAAGCCACAATGCCATCACACTCACAATGCCAAATGTTTTTAGAAATATACAAAGACAAAAATCCCCTGTGTAAGCCTTCAACACGCTCTGTCTAGCCGAGTTCTGTTCGCGAGCACGTTGCATGAGCACGTCGATTTGGCCAGAACTACGTCTGTCTGCCTTTGTTTCCCCAGTGCTGTTGGTAACACATCGCATCACGTACTCATTTATGACCGAGTCAACCGAGGAAAGTTCCAGAACTGGTTCAAATATCACTCGATTCACGTGGTCGGCAATCGGACTAAGATCAATGGGCCCGTAGCGCGGTGTGTTAACCTTTCTGCCGCCACCTCTCCGCACGCACGCTCGCTACGCATTATCTATGGCAAAGGTCATGATCGTTTTTTTAGGATATTTAGTCTAATAGACCATGAGACAAAGTGTTTCTAGCGAATTGTTTTATTATTATTATTTAAGTGTGCATGCCTTGCCTTGCCTGCCTGTGTGTTCCATCGTTCCGACCTCTTATCGCGTTTCACGTAATCGCTCGTACAGATGCGTTCTGGCCGTGCGTTACTAAAAGTAGGCTCCCAGGCGCGCCAGCATCATGGCCCCCCCGTCCAATTTGGCAGCGTCGTGTTTGTTTTCACTGCTAAGTGGTGCAACGTGCAGAAACGCATACATTGCTCGGGGTTTGTTTGGCTTTCGTTTGAAAATAATGTTCCACTGTCTCCCGTTCGGATCTTGTTTGGCGAAAAAAAAACCGTCACAATGTCACGGCGCGCTGCGTTTATGGCTTAAGTTGCGAATATTGAAAGATGGATACGCATTTATTATCTTTAGCGAAAATTCTTTTTTTTTGCAAATATTTTCGGGGCCTGTGTTATGGTTGGTTATAGTGAGAAGTGATCAAATATTGTCAGTGACGTTTAAAAAAAAATTTGTTCTTTTTTTTCTTTTTTCTTTTCATAACGTGGCTTTTAATGCAAATATGTTGGCCGGCTGCCCAACATGTCAGTATTGCTGGCATGCACTGGTATCAAGGTGTGTTTATGCTCAGGTGCAGTAGAGGACACGGTTTTTCTTCACAACTGGCGCGTGCTTAAGAGCTTTGCCAATGTCCCTTACCTGCCACTGTGACAGTAATCCACCGCCATGTGGTGCTGTTAGGGGCAAAGTTGATGCGTGAAAACCGTTCGTGAAGAAAGTTTCACCGCCGTAACATTTTCTAGTTTTGTCGTGGGGTTGTCCTCTTCTTGTACAGCTGAGCTGTTCATCCTCTTGAGCCCGAAAACTGTTCGCTGCTGGTTGAAGGCCTCCCTAAGGCCTCAACACCTCGCATGGGCACATGTTGCGACAATCATGATTGTATGTATGGTGAACTTTCTTTGCACCGTACGTAGCCAACAATGCTTATCCATGTTTAAAAAGAGACATTGATCAACTTTCAACAAGTGAAGACATCAGGAGCTCATGGCATCGGACCCACATGCTGTCTGGAGGATTCTCTACCAGTGGATGGTCAAGAGGGCCATACATCTCCATGTACTGCAATCAGAAAATGAAATGCTTCAACGTCCCGTTATCAAACCAACTTTGCATTGCATTATTTCTGATAGTATAAGCCTTATTTACAAATGGGATGTTTTTAATCACTTTAAGACATATCTTCGGAGTGCCGAATAATGTTGCTTACATATTAATGTCTACGTTATTGTGCATTTATTAAAGCGCATCATCATACGAGTGTGCGTTTAATTCTCGGGGCACCCTGCCCTCGACAATTGACACCAGCACATGTGTAAAGCTAACAAGTGTGCCAGCTGTTGGTCTGATTCAGCTACATTCTCAAACCTTCCTCTCTCCTAGCTCGCCAAGTCGCAGTGATTATGCAGCTTTCATTGCCGGTAAATCCCATGTTTTCCATGTCCGTAAGCCCATAGCTATTATCATCTCGGAGGAATGAAGATAAAATATCACTAATTTTCCCTAAAGTATAGACTTCTTTTGCATACTGGAACGGGAGCTATTTATCTCAGCATTTATTTTAATAAAAGCAATTATATATATTAAAAAAAATCCGTTTACTTTTTGTGAATATTTACCAGGATAACCACCACAGATTGTTATCTTTGCAATACATCATAAAATGTATTTCAGAGATATATCACATCGATCTGGAGAAGTGTATTTTTATCTCTCGATTTTTTTACTCTAACAGCCGATTGTTATTGGAAACTTGCAATTGAAAAGTTGAGGCTCACAGCTGACGATGGATTCGTAGCCGAGTGATTGAACGTGCACGAGGCATCAGCCGAATGGGAGACGGGTTGAGCCGTCCCTTAGTGTCCGGCGAATCGGGGCGACCGCCCCGGGCCCCGTGCTATGGGGGGGCCCACATTTCGACGTCACGGTGTCAGATGTAATACCTCCGGTTTAGTTGGACGGCGTTGGGGGGCCCCACAAGGTGGGATTTCCCCCGGGCCCCGCACCCTCCCTTTGGACGGCCCTGGAGATGGGGCGAGCGATAAAATGGAGTCACACGGGAATGAGATGGATTGTACTTGCACTGGACTACAAGCTGTTGGCAATTTGCAAGGATGCGGCTTCATTTGCCAGTCACATGGTGACAATGATCATAATTAACTTTGCAAATAGGCCCAATTTATTTTTACTTTTGTACATTTTATTATCGGCATTACGTCTTGAAACAACCCCGAGCAGTGCATCGCCCTGTGTCTAGACGTTGACGTCTCACATGGGTCTAGAAGTTGGCATCACAGAACTACTACTGAAATCACTCCAATTGAATTATTATTACTCAAAATGTTCACCTGTTTATGCATTTTAAAGAGGGTCTGATGCCTGTGGATTTAAACTATATATTTTTTAAGTTGCAAATCTAGAATAATACAAAATATTTAAAATATAACAATTCATATTATGATTTGAGCCTTTCGTGACTGCAGGAATCCATACTCTGGTTCTTTCGGTAAAGTCACGTAGGTAGAAAAAAAATCCTTTCCCACCTGATGACGGACGCTTGTGTTGCGCCCGAAACGTTGTGATTTATTTTATTTTATACCTATGTGACTTTACCGAAAGAACCAAAGAGTAATTAATATAATGTTTTATTTGGGTGCATTCATTGTTGAGCAGGCTGATAGACCATCCACTACTATACTTGAGAACCTGGTTTAATGATGTGTAGCAGTCACTGCTCTGATCCTTGACCTAATCGGCCACTTCATAAGGATTACATTGCTCTTGATATGTTGTGCTTTAAAATGCCATGTAAATGCTGCGCCTTGGCAGTACAATACCAGAAAAAATATATTTTGGTAATAACATCCACAGGTGCTATGTTGATTGAACCACTTACTCCTTCACAACAGGCGCAAATGAATTAAGCTTTCTTACAAAGTAGACATTCATCCGTGTTTTTCTTGCCAACGATTCTTGTTGTCTGCTGTAATGAAATACTTTGATTCATTCGTTGATGGATTTGCCTGACACTTTGTTTTACATATGGTTACACAACCAACACTAACAAATGTATAGCCAATATGTCTTTTGCTGTATTTTATTTAATAAGTAATCGGGAGGGACAATGGCCGGTGGTCGAGACTAAAGACGGAGTGGCATCCAAAGGAGGGTACGCGCCCGAGAGGACGTCCATCGTGAAAATTGAGCGATGAAATCGTCTCGTGTGCACTCACGCTAGAGATGGCTTACGTCGCAGAACTATCAGAGATGGTGAAAGCTTGGGGGGCAGGGGCCTTCATCCAGCGGTGGATTGATTGTGGTAGAAGGCAGTGGTGGCGATTGTGTGTATTAGCATGTGCCGGCTCCTCCTGTAACGTGACACTGCTAATGCGTTGTTATCTCTCTCTTGCAGGTGCTGAATGCGCAGGACCTTGTTGACTTCTCGCCAGTCTATCGCTGCTTGCACATCTACACCGTGCTGGTAGGAACCTTCTCTAAACTCGGCCGCGTCGCGGTGCCCCTAATGAACCCTGCCCGATGCCGCGCCGACGCCGCCGCCGCGATGTCAGATGTGCGTGACCAAATAAATGGCCGCACTGAAAGACGTCGAAGCAGCTTCGCTTCACGAAATTCGTTCTGTGGCTTGCTTTTTTTTTTTGGCGAGGGGCTCACTTCTTGCAACAGTAATTTTACCCGGAATGAGAATATTATGTGGGTGCCACTTAATGTCCAAAAACCTGAAATGACGTCGCCTAACTCGTGTTTCACGCGCAAAGGTCACCTGCGTGCCAATGTCAGCGTCAATAATGCGTGGAAAATCACCTGCAGGTACTCGATTACCCCAATAGGGTACTTATCGGGGACAGCTCATTGCGAGCGAGCCGCACATACTTTGATTGAGCTGCCCTGTCTATTAAAAGACGTCAAAATGAAAAAGCAATATATATCGACGGTTGGGTAGCGTGAGCAAAGTAGCTAGCAAAGTGTGGCGCGAGGCTTTGCCCACATGTAAGCCCCTCTCTCATTCTAGTGGTCTTGGCTGATTGCAGCCCACGAGGACCGCATATTTTTGTCATTTCAATTGGTCCTTTGTGATCAGCGGCAAGACCCCCTCCCTCCATCCCTACCACCCCACCCCCCTCCTTAGGGTGCACTCAGCCCGAGATGACTGCTCAGTGCCGGCGTGTGGGAGAGGTCGCTGGCCTTGCCACCCTCGTAAGCCGGACCGATCGCGTAACGAGCGCTCGGGATGACGGCGAGAGCACATTGTGCGCGGGTGATTGTCGTTGGTGTGCAGCTGGGCCCCGTTATGCTTTTCTGCACGATGCCTTTTCTTTTAAATGGGTTATGCGTGATCCTGGTTACCGTATTTACGGAACGTGTTGCAAGCGAGTAAGCGCCATGTCATGTCTCGAGAAATGTCGTTGCGAGCATATTTATAGATTAACTTTATATGCGAGCACTTTTTAATGTGTCTACAGATAAGCATTTAAGTTTAGTGAGGAGTTGTGTGAATAGATGTGACCCAGAATTGACCCACCTTGTCTGGAAGCCCAGCATTACTTCTGTCTGCCTGATTCAACCCCAAATTGCCTTCATGTACATACATAAAGCGTACCGTTTTTGTACGTTTAAACGAAGCGTAATTTCAACAAAGGTACTGAATATTACAATGTCGATTTCTATTTGCTAATTCACTGCCGGATGAAGGCTTCCTCATGCCATGTTGGTTTTGGGGGTTGTTAGACCATACTCCCCTATGCTGGTCATTGCGGATTGGTGAAAGGTGTTGGGCCCTTGACCAATTCGGATATCGCTCACCGCTGATGTTAGTCAGGGCCTACAATCTGACTCGGGTCCTCTGGCTCATAGCATAGTGCACTAGCCACTCACGCCCGCCACAAGCGAATGTGGAATTTCCACTGCTGGCTGAACGGGGCTGCCAGCAGAGGGTGAGGCCCATTGCGATGCTCATTTTTGCAAGAAGTCAGAATCTGAGTATTTATTTATATTTGAGGAATCCGATTAGCTATAAAGCGCTTTGTCACAGATGTCCAGTATTTTCACAGATGTCTAGTAAAGTCACTTTGAGTTGGACTCTGCACAATGTGGACCTGGGTCGTGCTTGGGTGGGCGTCTTCCATCGACAGAACGGGTGTTATAGGCTGATGTGGCGCTACGTAGTGGGCAGCTGAAACATCCTTTGTTCTACAATACTCTACTTGTATCCTTCTGCATCTTTGCTGCCTGCCTTCACCATCCCGCACTCATCAGTGTGGTGGTGTATAGTTCAATAACCCCCGCGACCCACACAGTGTGAGGAGGCCCTCATCCAGCAGCGGATGGACAACGAAGCAGCACAGTTTTGATTGACGTAGCGTCCAAATGCGGACCCGCGTATCGTCGTGAACTCCGCGCATGGCCTTGCCTACAAAAGCGGAGCACCAAGGAGAGCAGGCGTCGGCCGGCAGTCGGTCCGCGTGCCACCGGCAGAGTCGCATCGACGCGCTCGCACGGCCTCACCGTTGCGGGGGAAAGATGAATCGTCTCAGGGCGTTCGGCAAACATGCGCGGGTGACCTCGCGTGATCCGCCTGTCTCCGATATCCCGATGCTGCCCGGGTGAGGGAAGGTGCTCAAGGGGGGGGAACGTTCACAAGCGCTCGCCAGGGGATATTACTGTCCGTCGCCGCGGCGGGACGGGCAGTAATGCTGTCAGGCCAACGTGACACGGCCGTGCCGCCGGGGAGATGTTTGTCATAACTCGGCGTGGGTGCGGACCGGGTCGTGACCGATAATGTTCCAGCTGCAGCGGGGGGGATCGCTGCACGTATGTATTATCGTTGGCTGGGGGCATTGCACTGAGATGGGAGCTTGGGGGTGTTTGGAAGACAAGGGCATTCAGGGGAATTGGTTGGAGTGGTGGGGGGGGGGGGGGAGCGGCGCTGTAGGGGTGACCGGGGAAGAAAATAGGAATGCAGTGAAGGTATGCCAGCAAAGTTCAGCAAAGTTTTCTGAGCGAAAGGTGAAGTCATGTGAAGTTCAAGCCGAAATGTTTGGTTTCAGCGCACAAAGAGAGAGTGTGTTGCCGACACGGATTTACATTGTCAGGGAATAAAGAAACGTGTGCGCGTAATCAAATAAACATGCGGTGTAACCATGTTTCAAACAAGAGTCCTTGGGTACGCTTTCATGGTCCAAGTTACTGATTTCTATGCCATTGCATCAGTGGTGCGACTTTTATTTCATTTGACGCTGGAATACAATTGTTTCAGCGTACTCGTACGTTACTTAAACAAAAAGCGTTTACGATGTGCACGCAATGCAGTCTTCATTTTAAATACGCTGTGTACAAAGGAGACATCGCGTTAAGCCATAAAAATATATATATTAAAGAACAACATTTTGTTATCAGAAAAATGTTTTCCCAAATGTTAATCAAACGTCCTTATGAAAACAACAAAATAGAATTTTTCGATTTAAAGCTTTCGCGACTGCAGGGGTTCATATTCCTGGTTCTTTCGGTAAAGTCACATAGAAGGGAAATCATAAAATAATAAAAATAAAACATAATAAAATTCTCACGACGTTTCGGCCACAACGCAAGCAGCCGAGGACGGCTGCTTGCGTTGTGGCCGAAAGAACCAAGAATAACTAAATTTTACATTGTGCTCATGCGTAAAATTTAACAGTGTGCTCATGCATTCTTGCTCCAGAATAACTAAATTTTGCATGGTGCTCATGCGTTCTTGCTCGCTTACCTACACGCACGCACGTCGTACACACTCGCATTGCTGCAAGAATGGTACGTGCTGTTCCGCTCGTTGTCGAAGCGCTAATGCATGGTCACATCGGGTTTATTGGTCCCGGGTGACTCCGCCGTCACTTCTCACTTGCTGACGACCGTTGTCAGCACCGGATCAAAATTTTTGTTTAATACATTATACACACACACACCGCAAAAGCCACGCTGGCATGAAACCAGAATGCGTTCACACGCGTGTTCAGCCGTCTTGGCTTGCGACGATCAAATAAACTAAAGATTATACGCGGTGGTTAAAAAAACGATAAAGAGATAAATGATTTGCATGACTTATGTGCATTTAGCAAAAATTGTTCGGGGGGGGGGGGAGTGGGGGGGGCGAGTTATGTTTATTTGGTTTCAAACTGCGAGAGGACAGACGGGCTTGATTTTATTTCATAAAAAAAATCTGGGTAATCAATCAGCACTCTGCATTACCTTCGCACGGCGACTTAACAAGGGAGGGCTGTCACCAGCATAGCTCTCTCTCTTACCTGAGTCAACACACAATATTAGCCGTGCGCGCCGCCGTGACGGGAAGGTTCACGTCGTGGCCGCTCACTGAACTGTGCGCGCTCGCAGACGGACTTTATTTTTAACGGTCCGTTGTTCTGCTTTGCACGACGGGAGTGTGGAGTTAAGATGAATAAGAAGAAAAATGCGTGGCCACTTGTGTTCCGGGTGCATTTGGAGTCCACGGTGGTTTTCTCGGGGGTTCACAGTAAGGCCAGCATGGGGTTAGAAACAGTCTGGTATAAATATGAACATTGACATAGTGTTAATGATTTCTTTACACCCACCCTCCGTTGCCAAAATGCTAAATATTTTCGGATTAAAACTAGTCTGGTTATTATGATGGATTAATAACAAAAAATACTTTGTTAAACTTTTTTCGTGCGCGCGCGCTCAGTTTTTTTTTATCCTCGCGTACTAATGAAGCTTTATTAAAAGTTGAACTGCATTGAAGCGTTATTGGAAATGTATTTCTTCCCGCACCCTTCCCCGTAAGTGACCCTGCAACTTTTAACGCGTTAAAATCTCCTGCCTCATTGAAATGAAATGGCTCCAGAAGCGGACCGTTCTTCAATAGGGGAATGATACAAAACAGCTGTGGAATCGCATGCGAGGAGGAGGCTTTTCCCAAGCCCGGTGGAGGAGGAGAGTGAAAGGAGGCTGTGACACGGCGATGCATGCCATGATTTATTGCTCGCCTCCGAGCATGTTGCAGTCCCCGCTTCTAAATGGACCGCATGCGAGTGCGGAGAGATTTGCCAGGAAAGGGCCCATTGTCGACACGGCGTGATCTGCGCCGGCAAGGAAAAAAACCCCACGAAGCATTGTAATGAGACAGTTACACACAAGGGCGTGTTGTTGCTTAGTTTTGGTGCGGATTATTGATGGGATTAGATCACAGAATACTATCGCTTTGACAGGCAGCATTCTGTTGCATTTATAGCAGTGGTGGTGGCTGTAGGGCATTTATTAATGGCGTTTGCAAAGTCCGCCGCAAATTATTTGTTGTGCTATGTCTTAGATTAATTAAGTTTTTTTTATCCGTGCCGTTGTCCCATTTAAATGAACCTTTTATGGGAGAAAAAAAATCTTCTCATTTGCTCGTCCTTGTTTATCTTGGAGGCTATAGCTCACTCTTTTACAGACAAATTATCTGTTTCGTTTTTTTGGAGCTCCTAAAACAGTTTCAGAATAGTTTACAGAGAATTTGCGCAATTGCACTTGTTTAAAAAAAACACTTTTCCGATTCAAATTTAAACTGCATGAAGCCCTTATGTTATTTTTCGAAATCAATTAATCAAATTGATGGTGGGGGAGGAATGACGAATGAACACGATCATTCTTGAAATTGGCCAAGTCCAGAAGCTCTGAGCCAGCTGGACAGAGCACTAATACTCGGTATTCCGACTTTCGAGATTTGCGGTCTCCTTTGTGACACATTAAATAAATGCTCGCCGGGCAGCAAAACATGAAAAACAATTCGCAGTCAAAAGTAGAAACGGCCAAAAAAAAAAACCAGGCTCCTTCGGATGGAGACAAACTGCCGCTCGGCTGTTACCACGAATCGCCTTCTCTCCCACCTCACCTCCTGAAGGACGACGCGGTGTGTCTGTGGCGCTTCACGGGCAGCCGATGGGAACATCGCTCCCTCCCTTCCCGTCCGCCGTTCCCCGTGCGTCTGGCGTGAGCGGCGGCCTGCGTCCGCCAACCCCCCGCGCGTCCTCCCCTTTGCCTTTGGCTGACCTCACGGCGACTCGCCTCGCCGAGACGGGTCACTTAGGGCCCGGCGGCGCTCACGGTCCCCTAATCCCCGAGATGGCTTGAGAGATATGCGAAGAGGTGAGCCGAGCGATCGCGCAAAGCTGCGTGCGTCCCTGACCGCTTGCGCCGAATGCGCTCTCCAAAGCGGCCTCGTTTTTTCAGTGACGTGCTGGTTTTTGGTCAGTGCATATTACCTTGTGCCCCCCCCCCTTTCTTCCCACAATAGTCAGTGTGGTGAAGTATAGTCATTAGACAAGCCCCACAACTAACCTTTTGTTGGAGGACTTCATCCGGCAATGGATTAACAAGGGGTTGTGTGTTTTATTTATTCCACTATTGCTTTTGTATATTACCTATTATGAAATGGATCACACACCTGACCATTCGACAAATAAAAATGGAACAAAATCTGAAAAGTGCGCAAACATGCATGGAGAGAGGTGCACGCTTGCAATTACATGAATAGACAGGAGGAGAAATGCATGGATTGGAGAACACATGCACAACATTCCAAACATATTAGAACATTTGAAAACCTAAGAGGGCCTGGGCAGGACACATCTGTAGAAGGGATGATGATGATGGACGGTGGTTGAGCCTAACGATGATGTGGAAGCCAAGGGAGGTGCAAATGCCCATGTGTACGTCCACTGCATTGATCATCGAGTGATGAAACTGGCTCCTATGTCGGTGCCAGGTGACTTAGGAAGATCGCAGAACTGTGAGACGGCGGCCATCTGGGATGGGTTCCGTACGTATGTATGTACGTATATTGAACTTCTTTCACACCATATGTAGCCAATCGTGCTAATCGGAGGTGCAACAAACTAAACGCGAAAAGCAGTTCTAAAGAAATGAGTTTTCTATCTACATTTAAAAGTGCATATCTCCAGTGGCTTTCTAATATAGGAAAGATGAGCGTTCCAGACGGCCCGCATTTGTGCATTTGAAAGCGTGAGAGATGCAGTGACGGTCTTTTTGCGATGGCCAACCAAAAGCCGCTGCGAAGATGACCGGAGTTCGCGCGATGGTTTATGCTCCTTAATAATATCGGCAAGGTATTGTGGTTCATTTGTGGCAAGCACTTTGTGTGTACAGTGGTGGATGGATCAAGGCTGATGATGACGATGTGCGGACTTTATAATCGGACGCACACCAAACATATTTACATCGATGTGGGCGTTTAAAGAAGAATGCTGTCACGTGGAGGAGTAAGTACTCGTGATATGACCATCTATTATACATTGACATGACTGACTGTATTGAGTATAAGGTAGTTTTGTGATGAGAGTTTGAGCTCTTTTTCGTAGCATATTCTTCAAACCTTTTCTTTATTGACAGATGCACATAACGTGGTACTACCGTCGTAACATAATAAGCATTGCTCAAGAAGAGCCAGGCATTTTGTGTCCATGCGAAGCTCTGCTTCTCCTCTCTGCTTGAGTTCAGATACTTTACTAACACGTGCAGGAAATTCAACCTCCACCAGAGATGCTGCTGTGGCGGTTATCACACTCTGGCTGGCATTGTGATCGAGAGGTCGATGGTTCGATTCGATCTCCCGGCACGGCAGTTGAAGCAATGCTGTTAACACCCCCCCCCCCCCAACACCCATCCACCACCTCTGCCCACCCAGCAGCAGTATGAGTACACCATGGTAAATCGATCAACTGGTCACGTGTGGTGGGGTAAAGTGTGGGTAATCCCACATCTTCCAAGACGTCTAGCCAGCGCGGAAGAGCAGGCCTAGCATTCTCTCGAGGGGCTCTCTGGAGCTCCCTCTATTTGGATGCCCTTTCACCCGCATCGGCGTTGAGCCAACAATTTCAATCTTGTACTTTTACCTTTACTTCGTTTTTTTTTACCTTCAGCAAATCTGTGTTGGCGAAAGTTACACGTTGTCGTTGTGCAGCGTGCACTGGGCTCGTTTCCACGCTTCGATGCGATAATCATGCGCCGTATGTGTCAACGGTGTCTTCAGTTTTTTTTAATTTATCCAACGGAATCTTCATTCCTCCGATTTGCCTGCAAGTTCGGCCACGATAGCCAAGAGCAAACAGTCGCCACCGGTATCATATTCTGCTAGTAGGAGTAAAAGTAAAGGATGACTTCACTTTGACTCCGTGCTTTCTTTTCTCAAGCCGAGCCAAGCGTTTATGGTCCATTTAAGTCGGGTTTGTGACCCTTGTGATGGAGCTCCCCAGCCGTCTAAAGACGTAAAACAAATATCATTAACTCATGATTGACCCTTGTAAGGGCAGCCTCATGGGATCCCATTGTGTCACATGCTCCGCTGATATTTCTGTTGAATTTAATTGGCCGGCATGAGCTAATAGATTCTCTCTGGGCGTATTAGTGGTGATAACACGGTTTATTTGGGTTAATGTTTTTCTACTTTCCAAAGGGTTCCGGGCGGTGTTAATGAATGAAATTACGCAGGCTGACTTTATGTCCATGTGACCCTGAGCCAGTGGCATTTTTGCTACTTTTGCGTAACAACTGACAGTTATGAATGTTCTGGATAAACACCGTACTGTGTTACACTTGCGTATGTGTATATATATTTCAATGTATGTATATTATTGTATTGTCAGAAATGTATTTGTTTTATATTTGTTATTATTTTAACGTCACCGTGCAGAACTGTTGCCTTGGTATTTCCCTTTCTTTGCTTCTAAGGTCTCGTCTTACAAAGAAACTGAACTCGTTTGGCTCTCACCTGGTTTAAATAGAACTACCGAATGGGATGACAGGTTGAATTGCGTACATTATTGACTGACAATGTGTTGGCCTTGATCGCGGTCACCCAGCCCCAGGTGTTGCGGTGGTCAGACCGTGCACCCCACAGTGGGCAGATTGAGAGCGCACGACAACTGGTTTTGGATTGCATCATCCCTTCGTGTCTCAGGGGTCGATAAAACGTGTACTGAATTGTGTCAATCCAACCTCGTTTCCATGATGAACTGGATTTTATAAGAAAGTGGATATTTACTGATAACCGCGGTACACAATTTGAAATATTTTGATCGTTGTGCGGCCTCTTCTAATCAGTGCATCTTCTATATTGACTTTATCTCTCTCCTCTTTGATAAGTGTATTGATTTTACGCTGATTGTAAGTAGTTATTACTGACATCTTACACGTCATGTTGTTATGATGATTAACGACACCTTGCACCTCATTGTGGCGTTACGCAGTTGCTCTGCGTTCTTGTGTTTGCCTTTGTAACCCTGGTTTGAAAGAGAGACTTGCAATCTCAGTGTTCTCTCGCCTGGTCCAAAACTTAAGGATCTGGTTGGGCGACAACAAGAATGAAGAATTTCCACGCAGGCTCGGAGTGCAAAGTGACACACATAAGCCTCACGAATAAAACCGATTGTGTTCATCGCTCCATTTGTACAGCGAGTCGTCGGTTTTGCTCACCCGCCGTCGCGTGCGCTTGTGTTTGTCGCAGGGTGCGCGTGACACGTTTGAAAACTATTACCGGAATCAAAGGAGGCAGCAGGCCAGATTGGTGTTACAAGCACAGTCCAACATGGTAGGTGTTCCCTTGCTCCTGTCATACATCACACGTCGCACGGGTGTAAACGATTGTCCTGATTCAGGGCTGTGTTTGATGAAAAATTCTGTCCTTTTATCAACGGTTTTACTAAACTTGACTCCTATGTTTGTCGTGGTCAAATCTTGTATTCAAAATTTTGTCTACTTCCTATTGTCCAATCAATTCCACATTTTGCACACCTACTCAGATCCGGTGACAATGCATGCCCTTTTTTTAAACAACGGCAACAATTAATAAATTAATTCGTGAACGAGTTACGGGCACCCTCACTCCACACAAACAAAAGTTGTACATTGAAGATTCATTTATAAAGTAATCAAATAATTCAAGTAAGCGTTGATGTGGGAGCAGGCGCTGCATCATTGACGTACTTCTCGACCGTGAGTTAAACTAAGTTGTTAATAAAGCCGTTGTTTTTAAAAAACTTTTTTAAAGGAGTTTTTTTGTCTTGTTTTTATCATCACCCCCCTTGTAATGGCTCGCCATGTCACGGAGCTCTAGAAATTGTCATTTTTATTCTCATCTTGCTTGGATTGTTTCTCTTCCTTATCTCTTGTTTTGTAAAGTTTTGTTCTCATTAATCTGAATCGAAGATTTATGCCATTTTGTTCGTATTTTGCATAACTCAAAACACATTGATTATCCTGAGCCAAGGTGGCTGGGTAGGGTGCGCAGGTCACACTACCCACTGAATTATGTAATCCTCCGGCCTAAATAGGCACTCGCTAACACCACTAACCCCGGAAGTCTATTTGCATATAAATGGGGGACCTTTGTAGAGCAGGTTCATGAGAAGAGTCGCCAAATGAGAAATATCCAGAAAAGGCAAAAGATCTGGATTGGGCACATTCACAAAGGTGAGAGCTGGGTGAAAGAGGTTCTGGAAGGAGGAGGGAAGTTGTGGAAGGGGCCAACAGACAGGAGAAAAATTAACCCGGAAAAACAAAGTTTTTCACTATAAATCCTTTATATGCATGGCGGCTAGAGTCCTCTCGTCCTCTGGCTTGAGATGGCTGCCACCTATTGGTCAGATGATTGCCTGCCACCATTAAGCAATTGGTAATTAAATATACATTTTTTTTCCCTAAAAAGTGTAAAGTTATGGAAAAAAATTTTCACGAAAATAAATTGTCACGCACAACGGGTCTGTGTGCAAAATGTCAGCTCGATTGGATCACGGGAAGTGGGTGAAAAAACGACCGAAAGATTTGCACGGTCGTAAGCGCACAAGCAAGCAAGCAAGTGAACTTAATATAAAGGATTTAAAAATAGTCCGCTTGACGACGTGAAGGAAGGAAGCCCGTATGGAGTAACGAAGTGGGTAGCTCCGAATCGGACAGTTTGGAGTGAGTTTGAGGTAAAGGCCTGCCATTGGGCAGAGGACTAAAGGGAGGGACACTACGTGTACAGAAATACCCCTATTTATGTCTCCCCGTTTTGCGTCGTTCCGCAGATACGTGGTCACTTTATGAATACCGCTACTCGATTTGCGTCGCCTCAACCCTAACACGTCACCGACAGCATCATCCATCCTTTCTCGTGTCCGTCGCCTCGGCCTTCCCCAACTACCTACCCTGTAAATTGCTTTAATTTACGGCGTTTTTATATTCGTCGTGGCACCTTTCAGGAACGCATCCCCAACGTAAACCGGGGTAATTGCTGTGATTACATATCATTGGTAGGTCTGTTTGTCTGTTCACTCATCTCACAGGTGCCCTCGTGTGGCCAGACGTGGTACACAATGGTAACTCACAATGCCACCTACGCACTCCGTGCGGCAAAGGGTCAATGTTTGTCCGCATGATGGATTGCTCTGGTGTTCGTGGTCTTCTCCCGGGATTGAACACTAATTTTCCCAGTGACATTTTAAAAGTAAAAAAAAAATGCTTGAGAATGTCGACTGCAGAGACCACCCTGCCCACCACCCCCTCCTCGACTGTTGCCGCTGACTAACGTCGCGCGGATTGGGCCCAGGTTGTGGGGAGGAGAGAGAGAGACGCTGGAGGAGACGCGTAGGCAGAGTGTCCGCGCGGGAGAGAGGGGCAGAGGGGCAGAGTGAGTGGGACCGTGAGAGGGGAGGAGCAGACGGGAGAGAGAGAGTGGAGAGTGCGACAGCGAGAGAGCGGAGAGTGTGGGTGCAGGCTGGGTCTGAGGGGGATAACGTTGGGAGGTGGGGGGAGGATGGAGAGGAGTGGGGTGGGGTGGGGGGAGAGTGGAAAGCAAGCTTAATTTTCTCATGGCCATTAGCTGAAACGTTTTTATGAGGCCATGGCATTATTTACCTCAATCACTGCACAGGGAATAAAGGAAAGCCAACATTGATCTCATTAAAACGTTCTCAAGACTTTTTTTCAGTCATGTTTTTGGCTTTGACTGCAAAAAACTAAAAAGTATAGTTATTACTTATTTTTCATGTCACATTTCAAAACAGTTCAGCAAGGCAGCAATGTCACTTCAACAACCATCATCATCTTCAGCCATGATCAATCCACTGCTGGATGAAGGCCTCCCCAGGCCGCCGCCGTTTTTCACGGTTCTGCACGGTAACTTCACCTCGTTACCTGCGCACGAGCTGATGTCCACCGCTCAGTCTTTACGGTGGAGTTGCTCTTGGGCTTATTCCCTTCTTTGGTGATGACTCGGAGGGCCTTCGTCCAGCAGTGGATTGATCGCGGCTTATGATCATCCGCTCCTTCCACCTCCGTGCAGCGGACGTCCTCTCAGGCGCTTCAACAGGGAGTCTTATTCCGCCGTGTGTGGTCATTTTTCCGTCGCCGAGTGGCCTCCAAAAACAACTTCACCGGAGCGTTTTATTTTTTTCCACTCGGCAGCACTGATGAGCTTGAGAAGTTGCCGGCTTTTCTTGAAGGGGGTAACTCGAAACAGGAGGGCCCTGTCTCCGTGGAATGCCAGCTGATGCCCTCGCGCAGACACGCACGGTTCCATGCATTGTCTCACTGTCTCCGTCGCATGAGCTGATCGCCCCTCTCCCCTTTTGTCTTTGAAACGCAGCACGAAACCCTAGAAGGCTACAAGAAATATTTCAACCAGATTGTCGGGTGAGTCGACTGCATTAGGAAAAAACAACCACTTGAACCGCCACGCAAACAAACAAACAAACAGCTTCCGCAGCTAAAGCCCTTGTAATTCAAAACCTCTGCTCATTGATCTGATTTGCACAAAAAAAAGCCAGCTACTGGAAGTTCCTCCAAATGCGACGCTTAAGTGCCTTTTTCTGCTTTCCACTAGAGGGTGTTGTCATCCACGCCACCCTTTGTTTTGACTCTCGAGCACGTGTGAATAATTGCATGGAGCTAAACGCAAAAAAAAGGATTCGTGAATGTACTTGCAATGTTATCAACGAGCCGAAACGTGCTTCGTCTTTCAAAAGCGTTATCTCTTCGTTCGTGGCATCTGCCTTTTCACAGATGCCTGTGGTTTTCGTTTAATGCAGTTCTCCCTCTCTATGCTTTTGGCCCACTCATTGTCGTTTTATTGAAAAGAATTCCTTCAATGTAATTACATTTTGTTGTTGTTATTGCCGCTATTGAATCCAGACCTTGCCGGCGGTGGGTATTTGTCCTGCCTGTGTCTGCCCGCCTGCCTTTCCGTGTCCCCCCCTCCCCTCCCCCACCTGTGGGTTTCGCCGACAGGTTTTTTGTGGTTGAAGACCACATTTTGCACACGACGCAAGGGCTGGTAAACCGGGCGTACATGGATGAGCTCTGGGACATGGCCCTCTCCAGGATCATCGCAGTCTTGCGCACGCACTCTGTGAGACTTTTGGGAGCAGCATTCGCAACATTGCAACGGTTGTCTGCGTGTAGTGTAGATGCGGTTAATTTGTGTATCAGCTGATCCGTCCAAAGACCTATTAATAGGAAGTGGTGTATTAGAGCGGTGGCACAGCGATTAGCGCACTGTGCTATGAACCCAGCGACCTGCGTTCGATTCTCGGCCACAACTAACATTGGTGGCGAGCGATATCTGAACCGGTCCAGGTGATTTCTCCCCCCCCACCCTTCGCCAACCCGCACTGACCAGCATGGTGAATTATGGTCAAACAACTCCCATGACCGACACGGCATGGGGAGGCATTCATGCAGCAGTGGACTGACAACGGGCTGTGAAGAGCTCATGGATATTTTCAAAGGGGAATCTAGGCATCTGTGATTACATGAAGCGAGTTTGTGTTTTGACGTATTCGTGAGTATTTTTCTAATTTTGGTTTATTCTCCGGCATTGGAATACATTCATTTACTAGCGAATGATACCGCAGGCTTTCTCATTTTAAAATGTTTTGTTGCCAACACACTTTGGTATTTCATTGCAAATAAGGCAAGCTGTTTGTGGGAATTGAGTCTTTTGCCTTCGGGCAGACTTCAATAAGCGGGCCTCGCACTCCGTGCCACAAAACATAAATCATAAAAAAATAGTTCTTGCCAGTGTTGAGATCATTGCGTTTTGAACTGCACTTTAGTGACCAGGTAAGCGATATAAAAATCAACCCTCGCTGCATTTAAAAAAAATATCGACATGAAGCTGGATAGACACATGCGTTTGAGGTCTGTCTGAGAATGTAGGGAGAGTAGTGCATCCATACGATGCCAAGGACTCCCGCACATCGAGGGCTGTAACTCGTAAACCACGAGTGCATTCAACCACAGTTTACGGACGCCGTGTTACCTCCGGTGGGGTCGACTTGAGCGCCTCGGTCGGATGTTAGCTTACCGCTCATTTCCACCGGCCCATCACAGGGCCCTTTGAGAGTATCTTGGGTCACATTCTAAGTCTACAGGGTTGTCACAAATCCCGCCAGCTCTTAATGAAAATGCGAAATTGCGCACCTGCGTCTCTGCTGCGATAATCAACCCTGATGGTTCGTCCTGTGACCCACAAGATCTGTGACCCACCGCATACCACCCCAAGCAGTTCACGAATCATTCACAAACCTGTAAACCAAGGTCAGCATCTGGATTCAACAATGACGTTGTCCTTGTCGTTTAACTCGTGTAATTTTTGTGCCCTTTCTGCGTGTATGTGTGTGCGCGTGTGTGTTATAGTCCTACTGCACAAACCCTAACCTGGTTCTTGACTTGAAGCATCTCATTGTTCTGTTTGCAGACACTGTGCAGGTGAGGGCAATGCACTCGTCTCTGCGTTCTGCACAAACTTGCACTGCTAATAATGCCTGACAGCAGCCGCGCGAGTCGTGTTGGCCCACGCTGCATGTGCGATTCTGTGTGATGTGCAACTCTGGAGAAATGATGAGATAATTGACGCTCAACAAAAGCAGCTGCCAGCAGAATTCTGGTTTATTTGTCAAGTTTTATTTTTTACAATGCCGGGAGCTCCTTCGCCCACGATCGCTCGTTCATGATAGAGGGTCGCAGGTATCGTGTGGCAGCTGCCTTAAGATGCTAGAAATTAATGAGATGTGCTCTTGAATTAATATTAGAGTAACAAGCAAGATGTTTACGATTACGCTTCTAAGTGTATATCTTCTAAAACCTCATTGAGGGAGGATTGTGTTAGTGCACGGGACAAAATTTAATCTCTTCACAGAAAAATTAAATAACACTCTTCGACCCGCCGGTTCCCTGCACCTTGTGGACCTCTGTTTTCCAGCAGAGTTTTATTAAACAAGCAAAAATATGTTCCACGTTACCGCCGTTATACGAACACAATGCTTAAAAAAACCAATACGTGCAATGTTACCATCCAAAAGTATGGCGATCCATTAGCAACGCTGGGGAAACCGCGTGCAATGGTGGTCTACAGTCTTGATTTGAAGCTTTCGTGGCTGCAGGAATCCATACTTTTTGGTTCTTTCGGTAAAGTCACGTAGATAGAAAATTAATAGATCACGACGTTTCGATCGCAACACAAGCGAACCGTCATCAGATGAAACAAACACAGCAGGAGAACTGCTGACGTCAACCAAAGAGTATTGTGGTCTACAGGTTGTCGCAATCAAATGTGTGAGCTGATTTTTTCATTCCACAGGGTTATGGTTTTTCCATGAACCAACTGTTTGACCTGCTGTTGGAGATCAGGGACCAGTACTGTGAGATTCTGCTGAAGAAGTGGGCTGCCGAATTCCGGTGAGGTTCCGTACCGGTTGCCGGCACAGTGGGGATGGAGTTGCGGCATTGGCAAAACAGCAGCGAGATTACTTTGGGCAGTGACGATGCATTTATTGATGTCGGTTCTTAAGCTCGCGATTCTCACGCACGCCAATCGATGGTTTTAGATTCGTGTACGTTAAATTAAATTGAGTTCATTGGATCCATGCAACCTTCTCGAGGTGCTAGCATTTAATGCATTTTTTGAAAATAAAATAAAAATTTGACATCGAATCGGGAAAATATATCGATTCTGAGGGAAAGAGGGTTTAACTGTTACATCCTCTCAAAATTACTTGAAAGTAAAGTGTTTACTTGAGTTCTTTACATTGTTACTGCAGTGATAGAATACATGTTTTGAGTAGGGAAATATATGTTTTGTTCATTTGTTTAAAAAAAATTAAGTCCATTTTTTTATTTGAATATTGTTAATAATCATGAATTCCTTTTTTTCACAGGGCAATATTTGAGAGAGATAACTTTAGCCCAATTCCAGTGAACAATGACGAGGAATATCGGAAGATAGTTAGCCAGTTCCCCCTGATGGATGCAGAATTGGAGAAGGTATGTTCTGTCTTTGACATTAACTTTTTATTGGTAACCCTTTCTCTGGAAATCCTGCTAGATTTGCGACTATACCGCCAAATATAGCCAACGACAAAATTGCCTGAATTGCACCCAATGGCTTCAAATGTCAACAGCTAAGCAGGCTGAGCCTATGCCTCCTATATCAGCAATGAAACCGTTAGACTTCACAAATCTGGCTGTCGGATTGTAAATGCTGTGGCTTGGCTCTCCAACACACCGGTGTGCTGTACTAGTGACGAATTGGCCACGTTCTGTTTACGTGACGACCCTTACTAGTTGACTGTGTCCGGTAGTAGCGGGTTTTAACGACATATCTATATATTTACCTGATCTAACCCAAACTGTTGACTACCAGAGCTTGCACGGTAGTGTAGGAATAGGACTGGGGCCTGGCCAAGAGATGGCATCGCTGACTATCACACCTTTATTAATTTCACCGATACTGGCGTATCCTCCCGTATAGCAAACACTTCTTAATTATATTATCCAACCATCCCAAATGTACCAGGACCCTCTACGAAATAGTCTTTGTAGGCTCATTGATGCCTTCCTTGGAAAATAAATAAATAGCGGTATTATGAGATCGTTTACAAGCGCAGAAATAGAGGGGTGAAAAGGGTATGGCATTTGCGCAAATATCATGACACAGTGGCTATGAAATCACTCGCACATGGATTAGGCCAGGACACACGAATATTAATCTCCAGATGGGTTCTGGTGAATTGCACTAATTAAAGCTGACATTAGAGCTGCGCAAGTCACGGAGGCATTAACGCAGCCGTCGCGTGGCTTTGCGCGGGGGCGTCTGCGAGGTCTTGCTCACAAGCGCGGAGGTTTGATGCGGCGATGGCTCTCAGAAGCTGACAGGTCCCGCGTCTCCCGGGGACCCGATTGCACCTAAATAAAGCTGGGGACATCTGTGGTCACCACATGGCAGGAGGGCAAGCAGCGGGTCGAGGTTAAGTGCATCTGACAGGCGCTCTGGGCGCCGAAATGCCACCGCAGTCTCAAGGCGGGGGGGGGGCCACCTTGTCTGCCGGGGCCGCCTTTGACTCTTCCCCTGCCCGATGCATCTGCTCGGTCGTGGCATCTTGGGCTTTTCGATTTAATTGGAAAGAAGCCACGGGAGATTAGGTCACACGGCACCCCAGCAACTGAGCTGATTAGTATTTTTTTTGTTTATATAAGAAGCCAAAAGGCGAAGCGTTTTTATTCATCTTATACCCAATACGACGTTGAAGAATGTGCGTTTCATATTTTACTGCCCAATTTGTCAAATGTTCTTTTAATATAGTCGTCGCAATTGCTGTAAGTTAAGTTTCTAAACAGGCTAATTATGTCAAATGTTTGGCTTTTGCTTTCTGACAGTTTCTGTGTCTCTGTATAAGGGTCTTCTATATTTCGAACCACTGACCACATAGCATGGCACTGTCCGGCATGGCACTGCCTGTTGAGATCATTCACCGGCAGCATTTAGGGCATCCACCAGGCTAACTGAAGCCATCCACTAGCTCGCCAACCTCGAAATATGGCCGAACGTCCTTCTAGCGGCGAAATTGGCTCATCCACAGACTCGTTTCGCCACCATAATGGCTCATCAGCATGCCGCACCCGGCCAGCTCGCCGCTTCGCGAGAAGCGCCTCTTTTTTTGTTTGCGCGTCGGCGCCGCCGCTCGGTTATTCACCGACGATTTCATCTCCGACTTTCAATAACGCCGTTGCCATGGCTGCCGCTGCGGCTTAGGCGCGGAGGTCCTGGGAGGTTGCTCGGGATTAACCCCGAGCGCTGACCTCCGGGGCGCTGCTTGCATAGAGCCCCCGTACGGGATGGGCCACCGCTGCACGCCTACAGAAGCCCCCCCCCCAACCCCCCCCCCCCCTTGGCTTTGCGGGGATTATCCTGGCCGGCCCTTTGGGTGGGGGGGGCACCCAGGCACCAAGGGCTCGCTTAGCTTTCAGCCGCCGAGCGTGCGGACCTCGGCGACTTTCAAAGAAATCTTCCCGGCGCAGATAGATTAGCCCGTGCGTTGACCCCTGCTCGGTTGGCCGCGAGTGCAACACCGGTCCAGATGGACTCATTGTGACTGCAACTATGCAAATAAAGTAAAGTATACTTATATACACAAAGACAAAGATCTGCCCCCCTCCCACTGCCTTCTATGTAGACTTTACCAGACTGTTGGGACAAGTTCTGTTAGCGAGCATCTATTAAGGCTGGCACCTCGCATAATGACGTTCTGGGGTGGTCAGTTTTACTGCTTTTGCCTCTCCCAGTACTGATGTTTACACATCGCACCAGGTACTCATTTGAGGCTGAGTTGACTTAGGGCAGGCCCAGGACCGGTTTCGACAATGATCACTCGTTTTTTGGTCGTGAGTTGGAATCGAACTTGGGTTGCCGAGTTGGTAGCGTATTGCGCTAAGCAATGCACCACCGCTCTGTTTATATATATATATACACACACATGCAGTTATAAGTTAGCATACGCAGTCACATACATAAATATATCACCATGGTCATTAGCTCTTTTTATTAATTGATTTATGGATGAATGCCAAAGCCCACGTTCTATGCAGCTGCACCTTAGCTCAGTCTCATTTCATCACTTCTTCTCTTTGGGCAACCGTTCATGCGTGGTCCACTCTCATGACCACCCTTCCTTTGCTTAACTCATGCTATTCTCATCCCCATCCTGCTAGACGTCTTTCTCTGGTCTGTTTATTTTTATTAATTGTGATGGCGACGTCTTGGATTCGTGCACTTTTTTAATACGTGCGGTTATTTTATTGTGTCTTAGACTTATTCTAAATGTTGAATCTGTCCGTGCGCACGTGGTGTGGTTTTTCAGGTCTTGTACATTTTTTTTTGTTGCAAGCGTGTTTACATTCCATACATCACGGTTATCATTATGCACTCATTGAAGGCCTCATTCTTAAAACACAATGGGCTTTTTTTTTTGCTCTTCGTGACAGAATTTTGCTACGTGCTGTATATAAACATTTTGTGTGGTCTTTGCGCCGTTGCAACGTGATGTTATCGTCTGTCCGGATTTAATGCGTCGACCGACATATATGAACGAAATAACACGCGACTTGAATGAGACAAAAGAAGTGTTGATTATACTTGTCACTCAGCACGGCTATTTGTGCCTTTCATACAACTCCCCACTGTTGAGTACAAACGGTGGGTACGTTTCGTAGACCCAACCTGAAGTTAATACCCAACACCGGACCTTGCATTATTACGCGCCGTTCTTCTTACGCGTCTCACAATTTTTTGAGAAACCTCTTCGTTTATAATGCCGTGATCGGGGCTGCCCGTTGAAAGGATGTCGTCATTTTTTGTTTTTACATCTCGTGTTTTATTTGACGTGTTTTTTTTGGCTCTTTTGTTTCCAGCAAACCTTCCCAAAGAAAATCCCGTTTTCGCAGTTCGTGCCCAGCATTTACACGCAGGTGAAGGAATTCATCTACGCCTGCCTTAAGTTCTCCGAAGATCTCCATCTCAGGTGAGGCTCAGAGCTGACAGCCGCACGCGGACATCGGAGCGTCCCATTGGATGCGACGAGGGCGCTCGTGAGGATGAGGGGGGAGCGTGCGTTTAGCTTTAATGCCGAGATTTCAAGAGTCTGGCTTACGCCGTCCCAGCGCAGCAGCAGCGTTGCCACAGTGGTCCGCGTACTGCACAATGAGCCGGTCCTCCGAGTTCGAATCCGGGCCTCGGCTGACATCACAGTGGCGAGTCATGTCTGAACCAATCCTGGGCCCCATCCTTCTCCAACGCGCATTGACCAATGTGGTGAAGTGTGGTCAACTAACCCCCATGGCCGACATGGCGTGGGCATGCCCTTATCCAAGCAGTGTATGAACAAATGGCTGTAGCGGGCAAAGCTGTGGATGTTTCATCCCAGTAGCAGGGTTTAATTATTGGAACCTGTCAGCGTGTTTGTCTTGCAATTGAAATGTTATAGCCCTGTGGTAGTCACCTGAGTAAGTTAATGTTTGGTGGATTTCTATGGGGAACAATATATATGTATTTAAAATTCAGTCTCCAATTTAAGCATATATATATACGTACACACACAACATTTGCTGGTATTATTGCTCAAGACATTATATAACTAATTCAAAATGTATTATAAAATATATATTGCTTGTTACATATAATTTAATACACGTACACTGATGGATACACCGAGGAAGAGGAGCACATGCAAGCGTTCGCATACACAAGTTTTAGAAACGTGTAATATTGACTTTTTTGAAAAGTCAATGCGTCTGGGCAGAACACGTCGCTAGAAGGGAGGGGACGATGACCAGCGGTCGAGACTAACGACGGGGTGGCAGCCAAAGGGAGGGAACTCGCCCGAGGGGGGACGTCATTCTTGGAGGAAGTTCAAGGAAATTGGCTCGTGTGTCGGATGGCGGTGATTTTGGATGATGTTGATGATGGCACTGCTTTATAGGAAGGAGCCTTGCGTTCGCACAGCACGTAGAGGGTCTATGTTTTGGATAAAAAAAATATAACAAGTGATGAAAGAGGAAATGATTTGAAATCCCCAATCCCCATATCAATACATTTTCACCCCCTTTTAATAAACCACTTCACACGCCCTGCACGCTAAGCGCCTGGCGTTGCCATACGTGGTGCTTTGGCGTGTAAGCGTGCGGCGCGATAAACCAAGGGTTGGGAATACGACAAATGACTTCATGTCATACGGCCTGCATCCGCATGATGTCTGCCACGAAGAAACGTGCCTCAAATGCCATTAATCCCTTACAGAAAATATCTGCAAGGGCCTCTTCGCAGTGACAGAAGTGAACGAGAGGCATGCGTTAATGTGTGGCCCGCCAAAAGTATTTTAAAGTTCCATTTGGCCCTCAAGTCAGGGCAAGGTTGCCCACCCCTGTGATAAACCCTAACCCCCCCCCTCCCCGCCTCCCCCGCCTCACTTGACGTTAGAGAGGCCGGCATAAGAGAGGAGAGCTCCTAATGCAAGTCCTGGCCGTGGTCGCAGACTGCTTGTCTGCACAGGGAACAATGCGGACTGTGTGATGACGGATGACGGGAATAGACGTAAAGGCGACAGGGAAACAGTGATGCCGGGTTTATTTACAGGAGAGTAGTGACCCCATTGGCGCAGCTCCATTGGCACGGTGGAGGCTGCACTACAACCAAGGATACCTTGCTTGGAAATGGAAAATGCCGCAAGACAATCATTGCTCCATTGTATCACGTTTCGTCACTAAAGAGGTTGCTCTTTCAGTTCCCTAGCTCTGCTTTTTGGAAAGTCTTCAATTTGATAAAAGAACAAAAAACTTTTAAAATCTCATTACATGCTCTTAAATCTTTCTTTCATAATGAGTGGGTGTCTTGTTGTAATGAATTCAGAATGTTCAGCGAGAAAACTGGCAGATATTTTCTCATGCAAGAACACTTAGAGCAAATTTCAGGAAAGCTTGTGTTACCATCCTCAATTAAAGCAAATCAACTTTCAAGCTGCTTTGATTTTAATTGGTGAATAATGTAATCCACTAATTGAACGTTATGCAATTCTAATGACGAAGCTCAATTTTAATGAAGCAAGAAATCTTTATTTCTAGTGTGCGCACATGTGCATGTGCGTACGCACCAAGGTACACGTTCGTCAGACTTGGCTTGCGTGGGAGCGGCGCTGTGCGTTTGCGCGCGCGTGTGTGCGCGTGCGTTTTACGCGTGCGCGCGCACACTCTTACGAGCTTGTGTGCGAGTGCCCCTGACATCTCTTGTCGCTGCCAGATGAAATGGGAATCCACACGTGTGGGGGCGGGGGCTGGGGGGGACGATGCAGTTTTTGTGGTGGGCAGGGTGAAGACAGTAATGAGAAGTAGAAAATATCTCATTGTCAGCGGTCTCCCCACTCGCCGCTCCGTTTCAGCCTTTGTGCCCCCGACGTCTCAGAGGTTTGGCGATATGGGTAATTGCCGGCTCATGTTCTGCCCTCTATGTAACACGGTACAGTGAGTCCATGGCAGAGTATCGAGATAGCAGTGCCACGAAGAAAGGGACCTTTTGTGGCGTCGAGCGCACACACCTATCGGACGAGCCTCCCCCTCCCCACCCTATTGTGAGCCGCCATGTGGCAGGGTTAAGGCCTTGAAAGCGTCGTTACGTGAACCGCGTTTGTCCCGGGCTGTCACTGTGCTCTGCCCCGCATGCTTTTCTGCCTGCGTTCGTCGGCAGTCTGTGCCATTGATTCCAGCGGAGCCAAGAAAGATCCCGTGCTTTTGTGCTTGCTCATGCCCTAGAGCATTAGGCACGTTCTTGTTGAAGCCAAAGCTATATTTTTTTTAAGAAAGGGGGGGGGGGGTACCCTTTTTGATCTGCTTCTGGTAGCCACTTTAGTTACATTATCACTCGTTACAAAACTCCACACTTTGTAAAACTACTACGGCTCTGCGTCGTAGTTCGAGAGGTGACACAGAGGATGGGAATTGCGGTGCAACAGTTATAATAAAGTGATGTCGAAGAATAACACCATGTCGGATCTTGTGATGGGAGTTGTATGAAAATAAGTTGCATGCTTGTGGATGGCAATCCAGTGCAATAAAATATCTTCCAGTCCTCATGTGGGTTGAATGTTTTTCAGAATTTCATGGAGTTTTTCATCCACGTCACGGTGTATTCTGTGGCAGTCACATCACGTCTGAAATGTTAAGCTGGATGAGCCTTTTACATAATCCAGTCTAATGTTTCAGAAATCTGACTGCATTTCCATCATTTGAGTATGATTTTCCTGAGTCAGGCCTGTTATAACAGTTCACAGTATTAATCAGAGAGCTTAAACATATACACGATGTTGAAGTTTAGATGATTATTTCAGCAGCTTATATGTGTCGTCAAAATTCAAAGTGTAACGCTTCCTACTTGACCGATTGGGCAGTGCTCATCTTCGTTTGCGGCTCTGTTCCATCGGTATAGATTACCCGTTCCCATGCTCGGGGCCAATCGCTCCATAGGACGATTGCTTAAAATACAAACAACTCAGTGTCATTTCAATTGCCTACGACTATCACCTGGAATAGTTCCGATCGTGACAGATCTCTGGAAGCTAAACAGCTTTAGCCTGGATCTTGTTCCAATGAATGAGCACTGACTGACATGGGGCTTCTGAGGATTTTGTGGTGGTTACAGCATAATTTCTTGTACCCTACTTCTATGTCCCCTTCACCCAACCCGTGCTGACCAGTGTGGTAAAGTTTAGTCACATAACCCCTAACCTTGCCATGACTCTCATAATATTGGAAAGCCATCATCCAGCGGTGGATTGACACAAACGCTATACAATGTACATGGGATTGTAAACTACCAAAATGCCGAGTTGGTCAAACATTCTAACTGCGGTGTTCATTGCTGACAATCAGCGAGGATGGCTTGTATGTATGTTGAATTTTTTTCACACCATACATAGCCAACCGTGCTAATCGGAGGTGCTTGGAATTCTTAACGGTTCACGGGACGAACTTCGCGAACGAGTTCACATTTCTGATGCCGTTTGCGTTCACACAGCTCCATCGGGGTCATACGTTCTTGCTCAAAGATAAACCGCACCGCAGCTGCTCGCAGGCACTTTACCGCGCGGTATCAGGAGGGGCAGTATTCATTGGGCCGCACTTCAAACCGAATTGCTTCTGTACACGTCAACGATGGTCAGAGACGCACATTTGACCTGAAGAGCCACCCACCCGCACTGAGCCACCGCCGAACACGTCACCTTGACAAAAAAGCACTTGTAAAGCAGTGAACGCGTTGCAGAGTAATGGTCTCGTGAGTGAGTCGATGGCTTTTGTGTGTTTGGAGTGACAAAGAGAACCTCGCCTTTCGCCCTCAGTCGATTGCCACAAACTGTATTTATATTTATTTAAAGGGCGTCATTTGTATTCCCTGTCCCAGATGGGGCTCATGAGAGTTTGTCTGTATCTGCGGATGAATAAATAAGCGTGATTAATTTGTGTAATTTGTGTTACTATGAAATACAGAGCTAAACAGCGCGCGTGTTGCTAGCCCGAGTAAAGCCGCCAGAGTTCTGTTTGGGTTGACTTTTACATTCCAGCAGTAAGGTATGACAGCTTAAACTGGGGGTTGTCACTGGTGGTTTATAGCACGAAAATATATATATATTTTAGTGGTAATTTCCCCATAGGTCCCCACATTTGGAAGTCGTAGTTGACAAGCCGTGGACACCTTTGGGTAATACGTCATAAAAAATTCAACAACTTCCCTCAAGGTCTCAATATGCATATTCCATTACGTGTCATATTCCATTTATACACTGCTCTCATTCGGGAACCAGCTCATTATTCTCGTACGTCTGAGTGTGTGTATTCATGTGCTGTAAGTGCATAGGGTTATGTTTACTTTTCGAAGGACTTTTTAGCTTGAACAACAAATTAAATTTTTCTCGCACGGTACTTGGCGCAGTCTCTACCGCTAAAAGCCAATTGTGACGCAGCAAATTCTTTGTTTCTTTCTGAGTTGGACCTTGCAGGATATTTATAAGGAAACTTTATATGTTCTAAATTAGCAGCACTTAGCTGTGTGGAGGTTTGCGTTTAATATGCCACCTTTATTTGAAACAACTTCTGATTTGCGTGCATTGATCAGTTTCTTGTCTTCGTTCGAGGCTTTATTATGAGTTTGTAAAGTGTATTAAGTAGCAGGTGTTCAATTATCATTGCTGGCTTTTTTACAGTTATACATTCATTAAGCACATTGCTTTCAAAATGTGTGAATACCGTAGCACATCTAGCAATCACACACTCGTGACTGTGTACACTATTCTAGATTTAAAGTTTTTGTGACTGCAAGGATCCATCCTCTTTGTTTTTTTCGGTAAAGTCAAGTCGGTGAAAATAAAATAAATACCAAATAAAATTTCAAAATAACTAAATCACGACGTTTCGGAGGCAACACAAGCTTCCGTCATCAGGTGGGACAACCACAGCAAAAAAAAATCTGTGGTCCAACCTGATGACGGAAGCTTGTGTTGCCTCCGAAACGTCGTTATTTTTTAATTTTATTTTATTTTCACCTACGTGACTTTACCGAAAGAACCAAAGAGTATGTACATTGTGGTAGAATCTGTAACAAATATGTGCCTCACTGTCATCTAAGCAACGAGTATCGTATTTTTTTTATCATATCAATATTAATATATTCACGGAACTGCATTAAAGTAAATTCTAATAATACATTGAGAATTGGTGCCCACAGGTTGAATCCAAAATGTAATGTAATTGGTAACGAGTCTTTGACGAATGTGTACACTTTTGATGGTGTGTGTATGCTTATTGGACAGTGGTGGCTTCGTGGTTCAAATCCGGTGACCTGAGTTCGATACCTAGCCGCAGCTAACAACAGCGACGTCATTGGCGCGTGATGTATAGAATTGGTGGGCTCAGCTTTTAGTGAGTTAATCGAGTGCCTTGTGCCGTGTGTAAACATTTGCACTTGTGAGACGTGGCGCTGGCCACACCACCACATTGAGCGTTGTGCCCTCCTTAGTAGGTGCTCGTTAACACAACCTGAACCAAATAGTCCGTGAAAGGTTACTTGTTGGGGTCTTTGCTTTTGTCTGCACCGGCTCGTTGCGTCAGAGGCAGCGGAGAGCTTCATATTTGTGGCAGAGTTCACGGGGGGGGCAGGGTCGTCGCAGTCGCACCGTAGACGTCCCTCTTACGACGGTCGTGCCTTTCGCTCCGGCCGGGAGGAATCCGAAGCGCTTGTGGTTTTGTTCCATGGCCATCGCCAAGCAACAATGCGCCAAATTGAACGGTTAAAAAAAGAGAAAATTGTTACCGAGTGATGAATTTCACACTTTAACAAACAAAGAAATGCGGCCGTAAAGTGTGTGCCAGAAGGGGAATTAGGAGCTGTGACATTTAAAGATTATGTCAATCTCTTGCACCTCCCTGTTCACCTTTATTGCACGGCTTGCTTTTTCTTGGCACGTATTGTGACGGCCCATTGTAGTGCGCCAGGTTTATGGCATTCCTCCAAGTGCAAGCCACGGGGTAAAGGTAAAAAGTTTACCTGCAGTGGTGGCAGCGGCAGCGGCAGGGAGTGGCGACCTTTATCATATTGTTTCATTCCACCCACCCCTCTCCGCACCCGCATGTGACAACGCAGTGACGGCAGCAATGAACGTGACTTCATCGTCGTGCACCCCATGTGTTTCCCACATGCGCACACAATGATTTCGCGTACGTGCCAAGAGGCATTCTGTCGCATCTGGGATTGCGTAATGCAATGCGCGGTTAATTTTTTTTGTTGTGGCATTTATCGCGAGACAAAAAAAATGGCGTGTCGTCGTGTTGTGCGCAGGTTTAAATAACTATTCGCTTGCAGCGTGCATTGCACTGCGTAACCTGATAAGCTCGAATTCTTGACTGCAGTTTTACGGTTGACCCAAAGGTCAGTGTATTGGTATGAATATTTACTGCTTACAGAAGTGCCTATGTATGGTGCTTGGCATTGCTTTAAATGGGTTATACTGTATCTACACGCGGAGTATCCATAACCATTTACAGCCGTTCTTTCAGTAATGTCCACACCGTGCCGGTCATGGGTTTTCCCGTATCTAACCACCACCGCCACTGGTCAATGCGGGTTGATGAAGTGGGGTGGCCCGTGACCGGTTTAGGTATCACTCTTGCCACTGATGTTGGCCATGGCTGGGAATTGAACCTCGGTCACTGAGTTCAGAGCGCAGGGCGCTAACCACACCACTGCACCCCCCCCCCCCCCCCCCCCCCCCACAATACTGCAGATTCTTGGTTGTGAATTGTATTTGTTGAGAATCATGGTTTTTTATACAAATAGAATCGAATTGTCTACGATGATTCCTAGTAAAAGCTATTTGATTCTTAAAATAATAGAATATTTACAAAAAAATATCTCCACATCATGACCCTCGCACATGTAACATGGTCTTACCTACTTAAAGATGACATTTTGGTCATGGTTGTGGTAATAGTTCAAATCTGAAATTCCTTTACAGACAAAAAAAAAAGGTGCTAGTATTTTTCTTTGTCTTCTAAGATGCGTCTTGCCATTACGTCATGACCATCACTGCCTCAAATCTCATGATGCTTACCTCATCCGAGGTGTTCAGACGGTGCTCTCTTAAAATTCCGTCGTGCTTTTGAAATGTCGGCCTCCGCAAATAAAACACGGCGCAAAACAAAACAAATATGAACTTTTTTTTACAAAAGACCGACATTTTAAATGGAATTCCTGTGTTTTTTCTCTTTGTTTTTCATTCTCTCGCCCCCCCCTCCCCAAACCTCTGTCTCCCCTTGTTGCCGTGGCAGCTCCACTGAGATCGATGATATGATCCGGAAATCGGCAAACCTTCTGCTAAGCAGAGTCCTCAGCAGTTCTCTGCAAAACCTCATCCGGAAACCCAACATTGGTCTGACCGAGGTAAAACACACACACAGACACACGCACGCGCGTGTGTATGTATATATATATAAATTAAATTTTGACTGCACAGACCACAAGCGTCCGGATGGCCACCCCACGGTGACCCGCTCCTAGCGGGGGCCTCCTCGAGCACGCGCGTGTGCTCTCTTGCTCCTAATAGCGGAGAGCATCAAAGGGTTCCGGTGTCGCATTTCGTGGGCGCGAGTGTTTTGCGGGATGTGTTTTGGGAACTGTGGCGATCCTGTGGCGTGTAACTCAAGCGGCTCTGTAATACATCACGGCTACTACGCGGCGGTGGTGGCAACGGCGGCGGCAGCAGCAGCAGCATCGGGACGTGCGGCGTGTGTGCATGTGCGAGTACGTGAATGTACGTGGGTAGAAGAGTGGTCGCGTTGTGGGGAGCGGTAGTGCAGTGGTTTGCACATCGCTTTACGAACCGGCGACCCCAGTTTGATTCCCGCTCACGGCCAACACCAGTGACCAATATCTAAACCGGTCCTGGGCCTCCCCTACGTCAACTCAGCCTAAAATGAGTAGCTGGTGTGGTTTGTGAACATTGGCACTAGGGAGACGAAGGCGTCTGGGTGTGGTGCTGGCCACCCCCCCCCCACCCCCTTGTGTACTGCGCTGGCCTTGATCGGTGCTTGTTGAACAGCATTTGCCTCAAAAAGTCTGCTCAAGGTTATACGGGGGATCTTTGTCTTTGTGTGAGTGTGTTGGAGTGTGTGTGTGTGTGTTTTCTTTGGCAGCGGTATCATTGTGGTTAGCGCGCACTGTGCTCTGAACTCCTCAACCTGAGTTCAATTGACGCTCACGGCCAACATCGGTGCCAAATATTTGAATTGGTCCTCGGCCTGTTTTGGTGTGTGAAGTATTAGCACCGGGGAGACAAATGGTGGTTTAGCGTTGTTCAGGCCACTGCTTCCCTTCAAATGCTCCTGCCGGCCATCATAGATGACCACTAACAGCATGTAGCCCAACAGCCTTTGGAAGGCTTTGTGTTTACAATACAATTGTTTAACCAGGAGTCTAAAGGCTCGTGTTCAAGAGGACCCTGTTCGAGCATGTTTGGTTTAACCGGACGGTGAGGATAAACGGCAATCATACAAAGCAAAAGCTACCAAACTTGACACAGATTGGTCAGGGACCTATTTGCCATGCTATCTTCCACAAGCAAGCTTTGTCTTCACATTATTCAACAAACCCTTCTTCATAATCAGAGGATTACAGTTTGCGCTGCCTTCCAACTTGGCCGATTGTAAGCGACTACATAATTAAAACGCATTCACACCGCTGATACATCGTCCTTACTCGTGCACCATTCGTCAAAGAAAGAGGGATGGATTTCGTTCATAATTGGAAGCATGCAATATTAAACGGACATCATCGATGGGATTGCTGACAAAATAGGTTCTCAACTTGTGCCCGACGTCAATTAGGTCATACAAGTCTGGTGAGACACGTACGCTTGCCGGGTTAAAAAGATGCACCCCCACGCCCCCCCCCCCCCCAACTTATGACCTAAAGTGCACGAGGAAAAAAGGGCATCTTCTAAATCGGAGAATACGTCATTGCTTGAAATCTGAGATTTTTTGGTAAGCGTGTGTGTGTTGACGTGCTTGCAGTAGACGACCTTCCAGACTTGGGCTGTGGTACAGGCTGCGTGTTTAGCCAGTCCCTTATTTCTTTGTTGTTGTTGAAAATACCACATGCATTCACACATAACAGTGCCGTGCGCTCATTATTAAATAAAAATAAATAAATAAATAAATACTCCATTCCTTTCCAAACCCATTTAGTTGACATTTTACCGTGGTTTTGGTAAAATGCGGGTTCGGACATCTGCGATCGCTCATGTCCTGCTGAAGCCGGGCAGAAAAACGAGAGAGAGAGAGGAAGAAAAAAAAACGAGTTTGTTACCTTGGCCAAGTCAAATTAGCCGAGAAACAGGTGACCTCTGCGTGCCGAGCGCTAAGCAGTGGCTGCCTCTTGGCTGAACCGCTGTGACTGACAGTGTGAGAAAACATGGGGCTTATCCGGCACATTAGAGCGTTTGGCCCGGCCTTTCATGTTCCAGCTGCGATTCAGTATGTCAGAGGTCCTTTTTTATATTTGTGTGTATACTCCTGGATATGTTGGTATCTGCAGTTGACTGGCATAACCTGTCCGCCCATCTGTCTCTGTTTATAAGGGGGTGTTTGCATGTATAAATAAAGGTGATGCTTAAAAGCTGCCCGTTGACCCGGTAGTTAATACAAAACCAGGTCTTCAGAATCAGAATATTTATTTATCCTGGAGGAATCCGATGATGTGTAAAGCTATTTTTCACAGATGTCTAGTAGGGGTAGATCAGAACGTTGCAATAACAAATAATACAAAAACACGGGAGTGCAAAGTATAGGAAAGCAAAACGAGTAACTTAAAAACAGTCGATACAAATAAAGCTAAACAGTTTTTTTATCTTCTTCTTGGTTCTTTCGGTAAAGTCACGTAGAAGGGAGATAATAAAATAATAAAAATAAAACATAATAAAATAATACAATTCTCACGACGTTTCGGCCACAACGCAAGCAGCCGTCCGCAGGTGAAGAACAGGTCTGTCGGAAAGACAGCGTTTTTTTATCTTACAAGGTAAAACCTACTGAGCTATTAGTAGCGTTCATACTATAAAATACATACTCGGAACAAGAGAGGTAAGTGGGTTTCGGCACGACACGTCGATCGAATCCTGTTCAGAATCTTTATTTGTCCAGGAGAAATCCGATGAGCCGTGAAGCTCCCCTTTCACAGATGTCCCAATAGCAGGGATGATGGCTGGTGGTCAAGGATAACGATGGAATGCCAGCCGAGGGAAAGAACGCGCCAGAGAATGTGGCTGCTGCGGAGATGGAGCGATGGAATTAGCACGTTTTGCAGGTGCTAGATGGATGGTTATATCACAGGACCTTCAGAGACGGAGACCGCTTGGGGAAGCTTTCATCCAGCAGTGGATTGATTGTGTTTTTTGTTCCAAACTTCATGTTCTAACGTTAACGTTTAGAGGTGGTACCACACCACGTATGATGAACGGAGCCTCACAGCTGTTTTCAACTAAGAACGTCGAAATTAGAATCCAATAAAAAGTTGCATTACGTTGCTCATATACATTTATCAGCCTATGAACAAATCACCAGCAGTGTTGAGCCCAAATAGTCCTTCGATGAGCGACCACCCGGATGTTTAATAACATGTGTTATAGACTGCTGCGGGGCCCTGCCATTGGCTGCAACGGCATGGTAAAGGTCTTGCCCATCCGTGGGTTGACAAAAGGGCTTTACACATCCACCTTGTCTGTTTGTGTGTGCTTGGCAATCAATAGACATGGAAATCATTGTAATTGGCGAACTAGCTAATAACGGCACACACCGCCACGCGGCGGTCTGGACGTTTTACATTTACTATCTACGAATAAGGCAATAAAGAGAAGGTTATTACAGGATTTTAATTAGCTGTCATAATAAAAGTTAAGGTGACATTCATGGCTAGTTGTCACGATTTAATACACGTCTGTCATGAAACTTATAAGACTTGGTTGCTTAAACATCTGCCAGCCATTATTTTTTAAATTAATTCAATCCCGCTAACACGATTTCCCTACTGCATTAAAAGTATACCATTTATCTCATGATTAATAGTTGAAAAGTCTCGGATAGCCATGACAACATTTAATTAGGCGATATATGATTGCATTTGCTCAACCTAGATAAGGCAAAAATATGTGACGGTACACATAAAGACAAAGATCCCCCATATAGCCTTTAACAGGCTGTTGGGGTAAGTGCTGTCAGCGAGCAGCTATGGCGGCCGGCATGGCACCCGAGGGGGTGGATTGCCATCACCCCACCTGACCACCTTTGTCCCCCCAGTGGCAATATTTATACACTGGACCAGGTACTTATTAGAGGCTGAGGAGGCCCAGGACCGGTTCTGATTATCGTCTCCTGTGTTGGCCATAAGCGGGAATCGAACTCTGGTGGCTGGATTCGTAGCGCAGCGCGCTAACCGCTGAAATAGCGCTCCCCGCACACACACACACAAAGGTTTGAATTGTCGTGTATTAGGGCGTATTAGTGCGCACACTTTGTTTGCCTTGCGCTGGCATTGGCCCCGCTGCTAAGGATGTGGGTTTAGGCAGAGGCTAAGATGTGTTTCGAGGCACCTAATCTGTTTGGACTGGGTTCACTGTAATGCGCAATGGGACCCCTCTGACTCTTGCGGGGTCCTGGGACGCCACAATTTAGGGCTTGTCGGGGATTATCCTAAGCCGGTCCCTGCCGGCCAGCTGTGGATTTACCTGGGAACACGCCGGGAAGGGAAACGAGCAAGGATTGTGAGCAGCTGACCAGAACCAATCCTCGGGTCATCTGAGCGTGCCAATTCGTTCCGTGTGGCCTCTCGAACAAAGTAAAACCATCCACTTTTTAACCGTAGTTTTAAAACATTAAAATGCATATATTTTATAATGTTTGTACATACGTATAATGACTTGTTCATTTTCTGCTGCGTCTATAATAGCTATTGATTGGTTGTTAACATTTGGTTTAAATAGAAACTATATTAAAGCAAAAATGGTAATGAGATGAAAACGAATTCTTTTAACTTGTCTTTCAAAAGGCTATGAGATTGTTTTAAAATGTGCAAAGCTCGCACTTAATTTACTCAGTGTCCAAACTTTTTTCCCTTTTTACATGCGGCTTAATTTACAGACATCTGTCAATCGACTGCTGAATGAAGGCCTTCCCTGCGCCACACCGGTCGTCAGCAATTGTTTGACCATACTTTACCACTCTGAGCAATGTGGGTTGCTGAAGAAGGTGGCTGGAGGCCAGGACCGGTTCAGATATCACTCGCCACTGACGTCGGCCGAGGCCAAGGAACAAAATTAAACCTCCCGCATTAATAGCGCAGTTTAACAAACAGGCTTTCGCGACCAATATCAACCATTATGGATTAATAGC